GTCTTGGTGGGTAGAGAAAGAAGAATGTAAATAAATTATCCCTACCCTCGACTCCTAAGTAATGTGAGACTCATAAGCGTAGCAAAATATAAGTCCCTTAATCAAGGATCAAAGGGTATGTATGAGTGAAGCGACACTCTACTCTCGATCCCATAATGGGCAGCAATTATCCATTTATGAACGAGTATAAAACTCTTATCCTACTCAGGATCACACGAATATAAAACTACTACCCTACTCGCAGTCACACGAGTATAAAACTTACCATACTCGGAGGTTGCATGAGTATAAAACTATTATCCTACTCGAGGTAACATGAGTACAACTCTATTACCTTACTCGGAATCACACATATATAAAATTATTACCTTACTCAATGTCACACGAGTGTAAAATTATGATCTTACTCGAAATCACATGAGTATAAAGCTATCACCTAAGTCGAGGTTATGAGTATAAAAATGTAATATAAACCTTACTCAAGCACAAATAAGTATTAAAATATAGTATAACTTTACTTGGGGTAATACGGGTATATAAATGTACCTTTACAGGGGTCATACAAGTATAAAAGTGTAGCTTACTCGATGTCACGAATATAAAATTTTAATGTAACCTTACTCGGAATCACACGAGTATAAAAGTATAATATAACCTTACTCGGAGTCATACAAATATAAAAATGTATCTTACTCTACATCACATGAGTATCAAAATGTACTTTACTCGTGATCAAAACGAGTATAAAAATGCATTCCACTTGGAATAAAGTATAAAATTACACCTAATTCAAACAAAGTCATAAGATATATTTCACTCAAATAATAAGTTATATAAACCTTGCACATCATATAGACCAAAGTTACATAAACTTACATTTACTTTACCTGAGGTTGCACAAAGTTATTCATATACCTTACTTAAGGTCATATGACTTATACATACCTTACTCAGGTAGATGAGTTATCAAAATTTGCATCTACCTTACTCGGGGTCACACGAGTTGTACATATCTTACTTAGGGTTACACGAGTTACACACACCTTATTTTGATATAAGATTTATTAAAACTTGCATCTACCTTACTCATGGGCACACGAGTTATACATACTTAATTTAAATATATAAATTATCAAAACTTACATACCTTACTCGTGGTCAGGGTATACATATCTTACTCAAGTATATGAATTATTAAAATCTACATTTACATTACTCAGGATCACACAAGTTATGCATATCTTACTCAAGTATAAGTTTCAAAACTTACATATACCTTATTATGGGTCACACGAGTATACATTCCTTATTCGAGTGTATAAGTTATGAAAATTATCAAGTTATCTCTTTTTCATAAAGTTTTGGCCTAATTATGTTTTCATGACAAATAAATAAGCTAAGTAAATATCACAAATATATATTTTGATATAAACGAATAATGATTTATAGGATAAATAAGTTCAAACTGAATACTACTCGATGAAATGAACAACTTAACCTTAAACTCGTTTGGTCTTTATTCCTAAAGGAACTCGACCTCTAAGCCTAGGGAGCTTGTGTACCTACCTGACCTAAAATTCATTAAAATCACTTCATTTTTTTAATTATCTTGTTATTTATTATTTTATTAATTACCTTTTATCTACTATTTTAAATCAATTTTTACTTTTTAGACTATTAGTTATTATCTTTTGAACTATCAATTATTATATTTTGAACTATTATTATCTCGTGAGTAAGGGGGTAAATATCACTTTATCACTAAATCTCAAATACACTACTCTTATATCTAAAGTTGACTTGAATGTCAAAATGTCTTTTGTAGGTAGATCTCTGCCCGTTCCAAAGAAAGTTGTTCAACATGCTCGAAGTCGAAGGCAAATTCGCAACAAAGAATATGATATATTGATTTTCTCAATCCAACCTTACACCCTCTTACCGACCTTCACTAGTCGGATAAGAACATTTGACAGTCACTGTGTGGTCAAGAGTCTAGTCTCTCGCTCCACTCAATATATATCCCCTCGACTGAGATTATGTTCCGATATGCTTATGAGTTTCAGATTGCTTAAGAGTCGATGTCAATGGTACTTTATATACACCCTCCTCTCTTAATTAACCCATTTATGAACTTTTTAAGGATAAGATCGTGATGAACGAGAACTCTAAAACGAACAATACCTCGAACATGAAAATTAACCTTAACGGTATTATAATAACGAACATGAAACCGTGATATACTCGATCCTAAACAAAATAGTCGTATTGATATAGGTTGACAACAAGTAGAGATATTTTTAAATTTTTTAATGAAAAAAATGATAAAACCTTATTTTTCATTTTTAAAATTTTAATTGATAAAAATAATTTAATAAAAAATAATAATAATAAAAAAATAACTCTTATTCTTCTTTTTTTAATGAAGTAAGTTTAATGTGTTTCATTATAATATTATATTATTTAATTTTTTATTTTTTTAGAAAAATGGAATATAATTGATTTATTGCGTAGTAGTTTTTAAACAGGAAACTATTTGAAGAATGAGTGGTTTTAAATGAAAGATATATAGCAATTAAAGTTTGTATACGTTATTATAGATATTTTATTATTCACATTCATGTCTGCGATAGGATTATATTAAAAAAATTTCACTTAAAAAACACAGAAAATTAGATTTTTCATATTTTCTGCACTTGACTATCCAGTTTCTTTTGATTTACTTGATTTTTCTGACATTTTCTTCCTCTTAACTTTTACTCCCTCGTACTCATTTCACCCCATTTATTTACCTTTTTTATTTAACTAATTTGATTGTTGATTTAACTTTTTAATCCATGCCAACCATTTTGATTCCTGAAGCGGTTGTATCAATTAATTTAATTATGACAAATTAGGGTTAGTTAGATTTAATTTAGTTATTTAGTTTTTTAAAATAAGCCTGGACATAGTTTTAAAATCTGTTTTTTGAAAAAAAGTTTGAAAAGAAAAACTTGTTCAATAATTTTAGTTTAAAAATTGTTGTAGATGAAAAAATTGATATTAAAAATAAAAAAAAATTATTTTAAAAAAATAAAAAATTTTGATAATTTAAAGTGGAAATATAAGAAGAAAAATAATCTTATAATTCTTATTAAAAAGTATATATATTTAGGAGTGACAAAACTAATATTTTATTTATAGTCCGTTAAAAATCATAATTATGATTGTTTCTTCTTGGCAACCTTTTATATTAAGATTCTTTCTTTTTACTCCCTCATAGTTTATCTATGTACCTGTTAAAATAAATTTTATTTTATCTTTTATTAAAACATGCTCTTAAGTTTCATTTTCAGATTAAGTGGTTTAGAATGTACGTATGAATTAGTTATTTTAGAATTGCATTCTAAATAAAGTATTTAGAATATATTTCTATATTAGTCAATCCCAAAATATATTTTGGAATATATTTTCATGATAATTAGTGGTTGAGCTTCTTGAAAAATGAGGGGGTGATTATCTCCCAAAGTTTTGTAACTTATTTAACATTTATGTTTTTGATCTCTAAACTTAATGATTATTCTCATTGTAATTTACATATATAATTTTGATCCCCAAACTTAATTATTATTAAATATATTTACTTGTATATTTACAAGTTTAATCTCTCATGTCTTCGTATTTTTTATCTTTTCATATTCATTTATTATGTATTGATAATATAAGTTCAAAAATACATTTTGGATTGAACAATTTTGATTCTTATATTCACTTTCAGATCAATTTCAATAATAGATACAAAATATTAATAATTTTTCATCTTATAGACTAAGAACAATATTCAATAGAGGTAAAACTTTTTTCATCTTATAGACTAAGAACAATATTCAATAGAGGTAAAACCAACACAGAATAAAATTGTAATTGTATGAATTATGAAGATAAAAAAAATAAGAAGGTGTAAATTCGAAAGATAATAATTTTTTTATTAAATAAATTAAAATTTATTATATTTATATATTAAAAATATTCAATTATAATTAATAATTTTAATTTATTTGATTAATATTTATATCTTAAATTATAATAAAAATATAATATTTTTATTTTTATTTTAATATATAAGGACAAGTAATTTACGCATACCACCTTTGATCATTGGATAGATGGCCTGGACGGATAGAATAAAATCCGTCAGGTCAAGCTTTGCCATCCCTAACTATATCCTTCCTCTCTCTATATATGTAGGTGTATACTACACATGATATATATATATATAAATAAATTAGCAGAAAGATTGGTTGATTCATTTGAAATGTTTTGAAAGTTGCAGAGATCCCTTTTGGTTCTCGTGATGGGCTTCTCTCTCTAACCAGGGACTACACCTTTTACCCTTTTTTCCTTCTTCAAAAGCTAGAGTTGGGAACACATTCTTCTGCTTCTGGGGCAGAAGCCCCTTTGTTCTTTCACTGTCACACATGGCACCAGAAACACCCACTTCCCAACAACAACATCTATTCCCTCTGCTCTCTCTACAATCACTGTATGCATGCTAGGTAAAAGGTAGCACAAAACAACAACAAAAGTCATCAAAAACAACCACTCACCCTTCAAAGATAAGGGCATGAAAGAGAAACGAATATGCTATTTTCTACAGCTTGGAAACTCACAGAAGCTTTACTTTACAGAAACTAACAGACTCCATTTCCTTCACTGTCCACAACTCACAACTTCCACATCACTGCATTTCTTTCTTCATCACCCATCACTCGCATCCTTAGCCCTTGTCTTCTCTACTCACATGCAACACTCTGATTAACATCACATGCAAAGATTCCCAAACACCACAGATAAAACCCTAAACATGGATTTGTAGTTTATGCTCACCACCACTATATAATTCAAACTTTCAAGTCTAATTAAACAACAACAGTCTTTTCTGAAGTTTTATATATATATATCCTATAAAGTAAACAACTTCATAATATATATTGTCACAACTGCAAGTTAAAACTTTGGGGCAGTTAAGCGATGGAGTTAGGGCCTAACACACGGCGTCGTTTCGAAATGGCGTTGGAATTGGATTGTTCCAGCAGAGACTTCAACGAGTTGTGCAGGAACTTGATTGATTCAACGCCATGCTCTTTGTCGGTGGTCACCACCAGAACGTTGCGGGTTCTTCCTCCGAGCGTGGCCATTTCGGCTTTGAGCGTTCGGAGGTGCAGAGACTTGAGGATTTCCACGAGGTCAGGGATGAGGTCGGAGCGGTCTTCACAGCACAACGACGCCTTCAATGTGAGTCGTCCGTCACCGTCACCACCACCGTCGTCACCGGTGGTGGAGAGAACAGAGATCTCGTCGGTCTCCGAAGGAAACGTTTCGGATTCGGTTGTTTCAGATATCTGCTGCTTCAACTCCTTCACCCTTTGGACCACCTTCGCCAAGAGTGAAGCCTTGTCTGTCTGAACATAGTCATCCAAAAGTTATTTGACTTTTCCAACCTCAATTATTTGCATATATCCACGTTCATGTCTTTCTTCAAGGTTCAAAAAAGCATGGAAGAATCCTAGGGAAGAAGAAATAGGAAAAGTCTACACTACTACAAAGATGTTAAATATTTATTGTAAAATAAAATGAAAAATCCAATTACATCAATATAATTTTTCTCAAATTTCACCAGGGAAAAAAATCATATTAAATTACTAAGGATTTAGATGAAATTTTCGATACATATTTCTATAAACATATAAATAAAAAGAAAAACATAAACATATTTCTACAAAATAATTATAATAAATATTTTATTTTTCTAAAAATATTTATAAAGAAATTCGTGAAATAAAAAATGTGAGAGATTGAATTAGACGAAATAAGAAGAAAATATTTTATTTAAATTTGACCGATAAAACTATATCTAATTATGTGGGTTATTTTTTAAAGAAATGGAGAAGTAATAAAAGAATAAAAAAGGGTGTTATGATTAAATGTATGAACTTTTGTTAAAATTTCCTGGAAATTCATACATGCACAATTAATTGATGAGTCCTCTTTAATTATCTATGAACCTTTTTAATTGTGTTTCTAATTAAGCTGAATGATTCAAACTAATATGAAATAAGGTCAAATGGTGCACCCGTTTTGCCCTGTGGGTCAAAAAAGCATGCTACTTTTGTGGAAAAAAACTAAAATAAAAGAAAAGCCAAAGACATTTTACATACACCCTCTTTGCCATTGCGAAAAAAAAAACTACATCATTGTTTCTTCATGCTGAAAATATGAGCATGAATGAAAATTGATAGAGATAGAGTAATGGATTGAACTATAAAATGAAAAGTTTATCAGTTAATGTATATGTTATGTATATATATACCTTGGAATTACAAGGAAGAAGAGTGCGAAGCTTGTTGAGGTGGGAGTTGATTCTTTCCCTTCTTCTCTTCTCAGCCTCTTTGTGGTTCCTCAAAGCAGCAAGAGCTTTGTCTTCATGAGGTGGTGCATCAAATGCTTCAAAAGGGTAACAAGAAAAGGAACCAGAGAAGCTTTGTTGCATGGTTGATGATGCAGGTTCAGGAAAGAAAGAATGGTTGGTGTTTGAGAGGATTTGGAAGAGCTCAGAGTTCTCAATCTCCATCTGATGCTGCATCTTTTAGCTAGGTTTGAGGTGAGTTTGTGAGTGAAGTGTGTGTGTCTCTTATAGTTTCAGTTTCTGTGAATGGTGTTTGAAGATTATGATTGTGCTTTTTGACTGACACAGAGAGAACTCTTTCACAGAGTGTGAAATGAAATCCAAGCCTCAAACTTCACAACCTGGCTTTCGGTGCTCATCATGTATGAATCATGATGTGTGAATAACTATATATATATATTGGTTTTTAATTTTTTAGTATTTTTAATAGTAAATACTTTAAAGTTTTTTAGAATAAATTGTTATACTTTAAAATTGTGAATTGATATTTCTTATAATTTCTTTTATAAAAAAAAGATCATAAATTAATATTTTGACTTAAAATTTCGTTGATGTGATAGGTAATTATTTAGTTTTTAACTTGTATTTAATGTCTTATTACATAACTAATTTAACTAAATGCATAAACGATATAAACATTAATTATTTACATTATTATTCAACTATAATGTAACGTTTGCAAGAATATTAATCTCGATAAAAATTCTATTGATAATATAAAATTTTACCCAAAAATGAAAAATATGAAACAAATATGTTAAAGTTGTGGAATGTTTTATTTGTTTCAATATAATTGGAAAAGGTTGAAGATGTGAAATAAAAAATCGATGTAAATTTAAAAAGATAAATGATTGGAGACTCAAGTAAAAATATTAAGAGAGTGTAACTGAGATGATTGAAGAGTAAAGTTCTTAAAAATACGTTTAAAATATGGAAATAAAGTGATGTTTGGAAAAGTAAATATAGAAATAGAGGTAGATGAGTGTATTAATAAAACACGTAAAGAACGTGCATGGTATATATCGCTTAAAATTGTATTGACGCGCTTATATTTTTCAACGTTCCGAGATAATGCTGTGTTTCTCCACAACGTTGGTCATAGAAAACGGCACCATTTGCATCAATAAATATTCCGCAAAATGCAGTTAGTGTAGAATCACGTTTTTCGGCTACAAAACCAGGCGATTTTTACTGCAACCTACCGCATATGGTTCACGACCCTAAACCAAATCTCAATGGATAATCGACTATGGAACCTTGTTCAAAATGATCAATAAATACTATAATAACAAAAATTAATGATAATATTTAATATTGACTATAAAGAATTTGATATAAAAAAATAACAAACTTATAATTTTATCCAAGAAGTCAATATATTATAATGGTAGTTGAATATAAATTTCTACGTTACAATTTATCGAAAATATTTTTATAGTAAATATAATTTTTTTATACAAATATTTCCTTTTTATAAAATTATTCCTCTTTCTTTCTTCTCTATTTTTGTGGAAATATCTTAATTTCCCTTAAATTATTATCATTCATTACAACTTTTACTTCTCTTTACTTTCATATATCCTCGTTGCGCCCTTGTTTTCGGTCAAGTCTTCACTTTTATATTATTCTTGTCTAAGTTATGTCCTCGCACTTTCCACTCTCATCTTCCATTGCGCCTTGTTGGGTCTCATTGTATTCTTGTTCTTTGTCATGTTATACTCGTTGAGTTAATGAAAATAAGACATCTTAAAAAGTCTCACATCACATTGTATAAACAATGAAATAGATGATAATAATTATATAATGAGCTTAAAATCCATGATGTTTCTCACCTCAGTCAAAAATACTTTAAGCATGTATTTGACTTTTCTTATACTCTTATAGTAGAGTGTTAAAATGTTTAGTTTAAATTTTTACTCTAGAGAGTATGGGTGTACTTGGGGTCAAAGAGCATGAGAGAGTTGTTTATGTGTTGTGAAAATTGTCACATAGTATTATTCTTTAGTTATCATTAGATAACATTCGCGATTTTTGTTTTTCTCTTATTTCTTTATTAGTAGGGTAATTATCGGGGATAAAGATGGTGATGTTCTTCATGACATTTTTTTTTCATCAGAGCTAGAGTGGCATTAGAGCTAGAGTGACATTAGAGTTTATGGTTCAGTAGAATATGAATTATCTTTGGTTGCTAAAGTTGCAATGTCATTTGCAAGTGCTGTCAAATGTGACATAGAGAGATGTGTTATATAATCTAGGTTACATAAGGTTTTGAAAGAAAAAACTTCTAACATGAAGTTAAGTACCCTTATGATATAACCGTGTTGTCATGGAAAATGGTGAGCTTTTTGCTGACGGTAATTATGCAAGGGCATTGACTAATATTGATGCAAGATGTGTGGTGATTATACACGATCATTAGTTAACATTGATGCAAATATGAACATGCATTGACTAATATTGATGCAAGGTGTGTGGTGATTATACACAAACATTGGTTACCATTAATGTAGGTATGCACGAGCATTGACTAATATTGATGCAGGGTGTATGAGTATTAACTGATATTGATGTAGGGTGTGTGGTGATTATACACGGGTATTGGTTAGCATTGATATAGGTATGCATGAACATTAACTAATATTGATGTAGGGTGTGTAGTGATTATACAAAGACATTGATGCAAATGTGTAATGAAAGAAAATTTTTGGAATGATTTAATTTCAAGTGAGTATACTCTTTATGGTGGAGTATGAATAATTGCTAGTGTAGGCAATGAAGATAAAAAGAAAGATGTGTTTATTTTAATCATGGTAAAGATTATTGGGTTGATGAAAATAATACATCTTGAAAAATCTCATATCACATTATATAAGCAATAAATTGGGTGATAATACTCTTGTAGTAAAGTGTTGAGAGATTTAGTTTAAATTTTTGTTTTGGAGAGTGTGGGTGTACTTAGGATCAAAGGACATGAAATAATTGTCTATGTGTTGTAAAAATTTTCACATATTATTATTATCTGGCTACAATTAGATAACTGTCGTGGTTTTTCTCTTATTTTTTGAGTTTTCATGTTATATCCTTGTGTTGATTATTTTTCTCTTATTTCTCTATTAATAAGATAATTTTCGAGGATAAAGATGATGATGTTCTTTATTACTTTTTATTTTTATTTTTCATTAGTACCCTTAATTTTATCCTTTATTGTGCCCTCATCCTCTCTCGTGTTCTACCCTACTCTCTCTTCCCTTGTGCTGTCATTATCTATTATAATTTGACCTCTATTATAGTCTCACCCTCCACCGTAGTCTTGATCTCCTTATGTTGTTGTTCGTTATAATTTTTTTAAAATATTCATTGATAAATTATTGAAAATTTTAAGTTATATATTATTGACATTGTTTTATAATTATTTGACACTATTTTGTATTTGTTTGATATTTTTTATGTTTATTTTTTATTAGTTTTTATTTATAAATTTATGAACATTTGTATTTTAAATATAATTTTTTACATAATTAATTCTTTTTATTTTTAATGACGGTTAAAAAATAATATCGTATATGTTTATAGAATTAGATCCTCATATTATTAGTGCAAGAGTGAAACATGCTTTCTCAAAATCAATATAACTAAAAAATAGATTATATTATTTTTTATAATGAAGAACCATATTGAACACGTTAATCAATTTATTCTAAGAATATAATAAACTATTAGTACATGTAATATTCTATAAAAACAAAACAAAAAATTGATTACATTATAATAATAATTGAATATTAATTTATGGTATTTGGTTAGTGAGTTAATATAATATTATTTTCCAATAAGCATATTAATTTTACTGATTAAAATGATTGATTATTTACAAGTTCGTAATTTTTCACAAGTTTAAGAAGCACAATTCAATTATCCAATAATCTATTATTATTTGTCATTATTATAAAATATTTTGCATTGTTATTTTGTAAAATATGCAGCAAGCAACATAGGGAGTTCATTCAAACTAAGTAGAGTATCTAATTTTGTATTACAAAATACAATAACATCATTTTCTACATATAATTCAACATCAAAACAAAAATCAAAACTATAATTCGACAATTTTTTTTAATGATGACCAAACATGTGTGTCCTTGATGTTGTATAAGATTTATAGTTTTAATTTAATTAGTTAATTAAGTATACTAATATAACTATAACCAAATAATATGATAAAAAAAACAAAGTTTATTATGCATTTTCGTATGTTAGGCCTAACTTTTCTTTTTAAATAGAAAATAGAAGTTTGGACCACGTGGTTCCGACCCTAGTGGCAAAGTCAGCTAAATTAATATGATTTTGTAAACACTTTTAGCACTGTGTAGAAACAGAGTGTTTTAATTTAATTTAATTATTATATTTGAGTTATTATTTATTTTATAATTTTAATTATTTTATTATTAAAAGATATCTTAATAATTGAAAAAGATAACGAGTATAGAAACCACTACAAAATACAATTTTATGAAATTTACTTTATTTTATTTCAAAACCATACTTTTTTAGTTTTTAATTTTTTTAATAAATTAGTAAGAGTTATTATCATAAAATCACTCATGTTGAAAAAAAAATATATATATATATATATATATATAGTTTTAAATTTTAATTTTTTTAATAGTTTTAAATCTATGTGAACAATTGCTTTTGAAACAAAAAGGAGTATTGATTTTGGTAATTAAATTTCTAAATTAGGAAATAGTTATTAAGATAGAAATTAAGATTCACTAAAATTGATTGTTTTTGTAAATTTTATTTAATTATAAAAAGTATTAGAAAGAAAAAACAAAATTTTATTTAATTAATAAACATGCACGTGGTCAACAAAATAACCGCTTTTTTCTTCGTGGAATGAATATGTAGTTTCTGGGCACCAACAACCTTGACGCGGGTCGTAACACTCTAGTTATTTTTATTTTTATTATTTTAATATATTTTTATTATCTGATAAATCTATGAATTTTTTATTTAGTCACTAATAAAAAAATTTAAAATTTTAATCTTTGAAATATTTGCGGATTTTATTTATCCATGAATAAATTATTTTTTATATATTTTATTATTATCACCACATTTTTAATTATTTTTACAATATGTTAAAATCCTTTTATTTTCATCCTTAATTATTTTAAAAATAAAAAAATATTTAAATTATAATATTTTATTATGTAAATTTAATATTTTAAAGTCATTTTTTATATGTACAAAATTAACATTTTGATATTAACTTTGTTATGATTACATAATCAATAGAAAACTTAAATTTATTTACTAAAGGACTAACTAATCATTATTTAAAATAAAAACACCAAAATCAAAATTTCACGGAAAATATGACAACTAAAGCTATTTAACCCTTATTTTTTATATTTACCAACAGCTTATTTTTTAAATAGTATTTTGTTTTTCAATATAAGAAAGTTTTAGTTTTTTGTGTTTTTCTCTCCAAATAATATTGTTTTTAACTTTTCTTAAATGATTTTTTCTAACAATAATTGCATACTTAATTAAGAGTAATTAATAGGGATTCATTGTGTAAATAGATACAACTGTAGTTAAATAACTAATTTTTTATTATCTAAATTTATATTTTAGAATAAAGCAAGTATTTATTATGTTAATATATTTAAACTTATGAAAAAAATTTATTACATGTTCTATCTATTACTTTTTAAGCTTTAATTATTTTAAATCGATTATGTTATTAAGTTTTTGTTCAGAATAACTTAAAAACATTTAAAAATTTCCTTGTCGATATGTAAAATGTATTTTACAAAAAATTAATTCAATTATTCTCACAATTTTAACAAAACATGTTATGCACAGTGCATTATTAGTCCTAATCATTTTATGGGGGTGTAAACTTTTAATATACACCTTTTTTATTATATTTTTTTATAAGTTTAATTATGAGGCAGATAAAAATGTTTTTTTTATACATTATTTTTTTTAACAACTTAACGAATTTATACTCTCTTAAAATATTTAAAATGATTTGATTTGATTTGAAAAATTATAATTAATTTTTGCACCGAAATATGATTAATTTAATTAAATTATCAACAAATAAGTTTAATCACCTATTTTATTAAAATACGATTACTTTATTAAAAGTGTTCCTTATAATTTACGTTTCTACTAATTAATTGCACCTTCAAGCAGTCGCGTCCAAGGGTGTGTTTGGCAACTTTTCTTGTTCTTAAAAAGCTATTTTTAAATAAAAAAATTATTTGGAAATTTTCGTATTTTTTTAAGCTAATTTTTTATAAATTTAATTTAAGATTATCTTATAAACAGTTTAAGATTTTTAGTTTTTATTGAAAACTAAATATTTTGTCCAATAAAATTATATTTATCAGCTAAATATTTCACAAAATTAATATAATTTATATAGACTTATTTTAATAATAAAATAAATTTTATTTTTAATTTTAAAAGAGAAAAAAAATCTAAAATAATTAGATGAACCAAACCATGTTTAAATATGCCTTCCCAAAAGTCAGCAAAAAAGTTGGCATAAATAGTCTTTTAATTCATGAAAGGACGTTTAGGGCATCAATAAGGTAAGGAAAATAGGGGGAAAATTAAATAGTGACTTAAATACACATAAATGCAAATTAATATTATAAAAGTTTGGTGAGACTTATTTAAAAATAATTTTATGGTGAAAAAAATTAGAAATGTAAATATATAATAATAATAATAATAATAATAATAATTTTTTATTGTAAGAATTAATTATCATTTTTAATCTATTATTAGTTTTAAAATTTATGTTATGATTTTGTTTTTAAAATATATTTTAAAAAATTAAAAAATAATGAATGATATATATATATATATATATAATAAATATATAAAATATTATTAATTTTAAATCTAATGAGATTCATAAAATATTTTTAAAAAATAAAATTATAATAAATTAAAATTTAAAATAAAAGAACATCTCATGAATGATAATTAATCTAACCACACACACACACATATATATATATATATATATATATATATATATATATATATATATAATCTATCATTTATTTTTTTCAATCTACTAATTATTTATAATAAATAATTTATTTATCTGATTTCATCTTTCCGAAAGAACTTATAAAGAAATTTATCAAAACTGATGAATTTTTATATGCTGATTTATATCCTTTTGATTTTTTTTAAAGCCTTGATTCTTCCTTAGATGAAAAATAAGATGTATAAAATTTATTTTTAATTATTTGGTTATAGTGAAGATATTATTATTATTTTATTATTTGTTTTTTATTTATTTATAATTATTATTATTCCAAACTCTTTTAATTTTAACTAACACAAATTATATGTACGGACTTCAACGTAAAATGATATATTATTAATAAATAATAAATAAATATAAAATAAAAAAATAAAATAAAAAAATTATAAATATATTAAATGTTTAAATTTTAAAAATTAAAATTAAAAATTATATATGAATTATAAAATTAAAATAAAATTATAAATATATAAATAAATATATTAAATAATTATTAAATTTGAAATTAAAATCATAAAAATTACAAAAATAACAAATCTTTACAACTGATTATTCAAATCAAAATATCTGTAAAAACCTTGACATAGATATATTGTCCCCTTCCTAATCTAAATTATTATCGTATCAAAAACAATTATTATTTTTTCATAAATATCCTTATTTAAAAATATTGTACCTAAAAAAAATGAACCAAGATATTTTAGGCAAAAGGAACAAGTAGTTAAATTTCCTTATATTTCTGACGTCTTCATAAAGGAAAAATTAATAGTGGGTTCACCAAATTTTTTTCTATTTTTATTGAAACAAAAAAAAAATCATACTGTTCTTCCTCACATTGGACCACAAAAAAAATAAAAATAAAAATTGTCAAACATGTTGGAAATAAAAATCCTTTTTTTATTTTTCATAATTTCTAGGCAAGAACGTGTTACTGTCACACTAATTAATACACCTTCTGTATATCTTACTACATTTCATTGTTCATGCTTGTTGTCACCAACCCAATTTCTCTTATTATTTCCTTTCACATTCTTCAATTTTTTTTTTCCTATAAACCCCCCCTTTTGTTTTTCCTTAATCCCATTGTTCAATAGAATCAACTAAGCAATGGCTGTGCAAGTTCCCGACCGCCTTGAACCGTGGTACACCCTCTCTGGAAAAGTCGTAATGGTCACCGGCGCTTCGTCCGGGCTTGGCCGCGACTTCTGCCTCGACCTCGGCCGTGCTGGCTGCCGCGTCGTCGTGGCCGCTCGCCGCGTCGACCGCCTCGAGTCCCTCTGCGACGAAATCAACCGGATGGCGCCTCCGGCAACGATTACAGAGGGTCACCGGAACCGCCGCGCCATTGCCGTGGAACTCGACATCACCGCGGATGGCAACGTCGTGGACAGATACGTGCAGAAGGCGTGGGACGCGTTTGGCCACATTGATGCGCTGATCAACAACGCTGGTGTCAGAGGTAATTAAAATGTTTGAATCTCGACGTGAATAGCGAATATTTCAGGGTTCGTTCGAGAAATCGACGTGGTTTTGAACAGTTGCATAATTCGAGTTTTGTTCATGTTGACAACAAGATCTTCTCATCTTCTTGATTTTTTTATTTAAATTTCTTAAAAAGATTAAGTAAAAAAGGATTTTTTGAAAATAAAATAAAATAAAATTATTACTTGTTGAGATGTCTCCCAGTAGTAGACATTCGTTTTGGCTGCATCCATTGGGGAGTAGTTAGATTCATAATTTTAATTAGACAGTTTTTCTTCACCCATCTTCTCTGGTTTCTCAACAGGGCGTGTTAAGTTAAGTGTTTTTAAGAAAATTATATATTAAATTAACATAATTTTTTTATTATATTATAATAATATTATTAAAATCAGAATTAAAAAAATATTAAATAAAAATAAAAATAAAAATATTTTATTTGTTTATTATATTATAATATTATAATTAAAAGCATAAATATTAGTAACTGTAGATGACTAATTTTAATTAAATGTTTTAATATATATAAATATATGATTTTTCTTTAATTTATCGGACAATTATTTTTGAGTTGTGAACAAAAAAAATCATTGCTTTGATATTTTGTGGGTAGTTGAATGCATTGATTTTCAAATTGGTAATGACTGATTGTGTAAAGTTGTGGTTTTTAATGGTTCCGGCGGTGTGAAGGAACTGTGAAGTCACCTTTGGAATTGTCTGAAGAGGAATGGCAGCAATCATTGAGAACAAACTTAACTGGGACGTGGTTGGTGTCAAAATGTGTTTGTAAACGCATGCGTGATTCACAGAGGAGAGGATCAATCATCAACATTGGTTCAATTGCCGGGGTGAATCGTGGTCAGTTGCCTGGTGGAGCTGCATATGCATCTTCTAAAGCAGGCATTAAGATGCTGACAAAGGTAAAGTAATCACATGGCGTTGATTCTTGTTTACTGAAGCAATCCACAAAAGCTAGACAACCTTTTTTGAATGGTCTCTCTTTCAATTTCTCTTCTTTTCCACATTGAATTTCTTTGCATCTTCACTTTTCAGGACTTTTTAAGTTTATTTGGGATGTTCTGTTTGAACTCACAAATTAAGAAATACACTGTTGTTGACTTCTTCTGTTTGGATATATGTTTAATTGAAATTCAGAAATACACATCACTTTCATTGCCCAAGACTAAAAGAGCATCAGTTTTAGTAGTCCAAGAAATATAAGGGTTTAAGAAAGATAAATTGACAGAAATAAAGTGATTTATTTTACAAGTTGGTGTAAAATGGTGTTTGACAGGTGATGGCACTGGAACTGGGGACACACAAAATAAGAGTGAATTCCATATCACCTGGACTTTTCAAATCAGAAATCACAGAAGGATTAATGCAGAAAGATTGGTTGAATAATGTGGCAGTGAAAACAGTACCCTTGAGAAGATTTGGCACTTCTGATCCTGCATTAACATCCTTAGTTCGTTATTTGATTCATGATTCTTCTGAATACGTATCTGGCAATGATTTTATTGTGGATGCTGGAGCCACCTTACCTGGTGTGCCTATTTATTCCTCCCTTTAAACTAAGACTTTTGGACTCCATTTAAACAATGATTTTAGCACATAGCCTTTGACAAAATATTGCAGTGTAATCAATGCCTCATTGGGGGCACACCTAGTTATAGATAAAAGAAAACAGAGTGCATTGTAATGGGAATTCTAATGATTTATTTTCTTGGATATTTCTCTCTCCACACCATAACTTTTTCAATGACTCGTATCATATCTAGCCATGCCCTGCAAAACCTATTTACTGTTCTTGCCAAATCAAATGAGTCCTTAGTTTGTGTAGCATTGGCTCTCCCAATAACTTCAACTTGTCCTGAACAAAAACTTGCAATAAACGCTAACAAGTTGGCACTGAACGTAATGGATGTAGGGTGTACACAAGTGAATGAGGTCTTAATAAGAATGATTGTGACCTTTTAAATTTTAAAGCTTGAATTTTTTTTATCCGACAAAAACTTATTTTAAAGGGTTTACTTTTAGAATTTATGTATGGTATTTAAATATTTGTCTTTTTTCATATACCACGTCTCTTTACTGAATTTTTACAAAATATATATATATATATATACTAAGGAGAATTTTATTTAACTTTTTTTCTTATTATTTTCTTCTATAAAAAATTAAAATAACCAAAACAAAATTTTAAAATCGTGAAAAATTCTACTCTCTAATTCTCTCAAAATGAATAAATATAAAGCGATTTAAGAAGAAGACATTTTTAATTATATATAATTTTTTTGTATGGGTTCAAATTTAAATTAACATAATAAATATTTTTTATGTGATTGAAATTTGAGTTAACATAATTTTTGTAATTATAAAATTCCTAATATTCCAATCGGTAGATTAGAACCATTATTATTTTATCTATTAGTGAATAAATAAATATTATACTTATTTCTAGAGTATAGAAAGTCAACGAACTGCACCCGGTTGCTTCTTATCCTTCAGTCTCCACTGTAGAGGATCTTGTGGTGACTCAAACACCGAATTGAAGCCATAAACAAATGAATTCGATAGCAGCAGAACAAGTTCTGGAGCCATGGCACAAGCTAGAAGACAAAGTCGTTCTCGTGACCGGTGCTTCCTCCGGAATCGGACGAGAGTTCTGCATCGACCTCGCTAAATCTGGCTCCTATGTCGTTGCAGCAGCTCGCCGCCTCGATCGCCTCAGTTCTCTCTGCCACGAAATCAACCGCCTCTGGCCCTCCCCCACCGGAAGCCGCCGCGCAGCGGCCGTGGAGCTCGATGTCGCCGCCGATGGCCCCACCATAGACAAGGCTGTGCAGAAGGCCTGGGACGCCTTTGGGCGCATTGATTCCCTCATTAACAACGCTGGTGTCAGAGGTAATTTAACGCCACTTGGAGTTTTTTTTACTTTGGTTATTTTGTTAGGCTGAAATTTGGTTTTAAATTTAGTTATCACATTATATACTATATTAGTGTAAATTGTTTTTAAATTTTATTATTTTTCTGGGTTAGTAACATTTGTGTCTGATTTTCTGATGATTAATTTTTGTTGAGAAATCTTATTAGTGAATTTTAGAAGGGTATCCTTTCGCAAATATGTCTGCAAAGTTCAAATTTGAGACCTTACTTAAAAGTTCCGATTAGATTAAATTTCATCTTATTAAAGTTTTTTGTATATCCCATTTTTAGTTTAGTCAGTCTAACATCCTTTTTTTTTTTAATTTAGATCCTGACTTCTTAGTCATGTTAACGGGGACTAAGTAAGACAATGATTAACACAAAAAATATTGAAGGCATAACTGAAGAAATTATTTGTTTATTTCTAATACTGGAGGCATAACTGAAGTGTTTGAACACAGTGAAACACTTGATTGCTTCCTAAAAGTTGTAGTTATTTATTTTGTGTAGGAAGTGTTAAATCACCCTTGAAATTGTCCGAGGAGGAATGGGATCATGTCTTCAAGACTAACGTTACCGGTTGCTGGTTGGTGTCAAAATATGTATGCAAACGCATGGGTGAGGCCCAAATTAAGGGATCAGTTATTAATATTTCTTCAGTTGCTGGTTTAAATCGGGGGCAATTGCCTGGAGCTGTTGCCTATGCATCTTCGAAGGCAGGAGTAAATATGCTGACCAAGGTACTATTATTTCCAATAACCCAATAATCAAGGTACACAAGTATAACCCAAAGGGGCTTTCTCCTTTTTACTTGGAATTTTCCGAGCAAACTAATAACTCAATCCTCTTTTCGTTACTCATAAGAGGACTTGTTCATAGGAGTTACAGTAAATCAAATAACAGACCCTTTCCTTTTCCTATGATAAACCTGCGGACGGCTTCCTCCTATAGATTTTTGCTTGAACTTGTATAATTACAGAATTTGATTTATCTGATTTATCAGGGCTATATAGAAATGAAAAATTAAAGTTGCCAAGATTAAGATAAAAGTGAAGTAGAAGTTAGTTTGGGTCTACGGTACTTTCTATTATAACCGAGAGTCTATATAGTAGTTTTTTCTTAGAATATGCTTACTATCCAATGGAGCTTGGGAAATATTCTATCCAAGCTACAAAATGGAGGCCGCGTTTAGCTGCGTGCCACCATCCTAGCAGAGTTGCATTTTTTCTTGAATAAAATTAAATTAGCATCAGTATTCAAATTGAAGCAGTGAAAGATGTGGAATACGTGGAAAATTTGCCAATATTAAGATAAAAGGTAAAATAGAAGTTAGTTTGGGTCTACAGTAAGTTCTATCACAACAGAGAAGAGCATACATGGTTTTTATTAGAATAGGGAAACCATTCAATTTAGCACCAGTATTCAAATTGAAGCAATGACGAAGATGTAGAAATAAGTGGAGTGTTAGGTATTTTCAAGAGGCTAACCGCAGATAGAATCTCACAAATAGTCAATTTAGCACCACTATTCAAATTGAAGCAATGACGAAGATGTAGAAATAAGTGGAGTGTTAGGTATTTCCGAGAGGCTAACAGGAAGATTCTTACAAATTGGTCATGAGTAATCCATATAAAAGAATATGATACCACCTTCAACCCAAAACTTTAAGACATTAAGTTATGGGTCTTTCTCACTTATAAGTTACTCAACTTTTCCATTTTTACCCAATGTGGGACTTCAAAAGATTCACACTGACAAAAACCTAGCAAATGTCATGACAAAGCCAGTAATTACTGACAAGTTTATACGAAGTCGATTATGTTACGGCCTATCGGAATCATAAGTAACATGAATGACAGAATATCATGGTGTGAAGATTTGATTAATTTCATCAAAATCTTCAAGTGGGAGATTGCGAGAGGGGGAAAAGTCCCACATAGAATAAAAAATGTTTAGGGATTTGTTTTTTAATGTTATAAAAGAAACCCAATGTTTCCTTAAGGGTCATCCTAAAAAAGTTCCTCTTTTTTCTTTCTCTAGTGTTACTTGTATTTTCAAGAAAGGGTGTCATTATTTTTTTCTTGGGACTAGAGAAGAGGTATGTAATTTTTCATATATTATAAAATTTTCAAAACTTTTGATCCAAGGACCTTTTCCCTACTATATTGGGTATTAGACTAACTGCACAAAAACTTAATTTACTTAATTAAAATAGATACGAGAAAAATTGAATAATAATAATAGGTAAAAATAGAAATTTTATAATATAAAAAACATGTTCCTAAACATGTTTTATTCTATGTGAGACTTTTCCCCCTCTCACATGGAGGACTGAAAAACGGACATTGAAGTGATTCTTAGCTGATTTATCAAAAGCAGTTTGGGATTATAGCGGCAAGTAAAATCCTGCCATACAAATATAACTGATGGCTCTGCTGGTTATCGTGGAAGGCATGGCAGACAAGATAAAAATACAATATATGCAAACAGATAAAAATAAAAGAGACTTATTATATTAGATATCATATAAAAGAGACAATATATACAAACAGAAAAAAATAAAAGAGATACAAATGGTGGTATTTAATTGATACTTATGGAAAACACTAAAGTTGTCAAGCAGGTGAATGACTCTTGCTGACATTCAATCAATGTTTGTTGACAACACTACAGCAAAAGAGAAAGGTGTTTCGCAGTAATTACAAAACCCCACACTATGGATATCAATAAGATATTTGGTGAAGATTGATTTTGTTTGTTTTGAGCAAGGTAACAAGCCCATATGGACATCATCAATATGATTTAGTAGAATTTTGGACTACTGCCATTGAAGATAGGGAACTATGGAGAAGGGTCAACAATATTGATATTGTAAAAACTTATCCCAGGACAAAGTGAATTTCTTACAACAAATGAGTGAATACTGGAATAGGTTAAGGTTGTATCTGACACATTGATGCTTCATCCAAATAAACCAACTAACAGTAATCCTGAAAACACAAAGGAATATGCTGATGAAAAATGTCAACGGGCTATTTTGTACCTAGATGAATGCTTCCCGAACATATATGGTAAAGGTAAACATATTGACATAGGACTAGCACCTTTAATCTACAATTTATTAAAATTTATGTGTTGGAAAAAGGAGGTTTTCATTTGTCATGGGAATGTTTATTGAAGAACAAATGAAGTAAGAGTCTACTAGACAGAAAATCCTTGCTATGCGAACAGGGAAGATATGCAGGGAAAGAATGGAATATCAATGGAATTTGTTAAGGTTCCAACATAAAACCAATTGGCAATATGTGGAGTAGCCTAACATGTATTTAAATCATACCAAATGATATGAGGTAGGCGATGTGGGACTTTCAACACACCCCCTCCAACGAAGCCTGCCGGATCAGGCAAAGGGTACTTTTGACCCAACTAAAGGGCAACTTTTGGCCCATGACAATAACCGGAAAGATGTTAGGCTTTGGCTCTGATACCATGTTAAGGTTCCAACATAAAACCAATTGGCAATATGTGGAGTAGCCTAACATGTATTTAAACCATACCAAATGATATGAGGTAGGCGATGTGGGACTTTCAACAGAATTTATGGACATATTGATCTTATCAAAATTCAGTTAGAAGTTGGGTGACCTTTTGAAGGATATAAGATATTGTTCCACTTGGGTTTATATTAAAAGATGCATGGTCACCACGTCTTGAGTAGACACCCTCTGAGTACTAAATTTAGACCAACTAAACAGCATGCTAGATGGTTTGTACTAGAATTGGTTCTAAAAGTTAAAGGAGAAATTAACAGACTTTTAAAGGTTGTGCTTATATGAACAACTAGATATGTAAACTAGATGTGGAACATAGTACTTGTGGAAGATAGGCCAACCTAGAGAGATTGCATCGATCTTAGTTAGGAATTTGAATACACCACAACAAAAAGATGAATACCAAATTCTTGCCACCAATGTCTCGGTCAATACTGCTTCATGGTATCAAATGTTTCAAATCCAATAGTCATTTTATCATCGACTTTAGCAGGGAAGAATGCAGTAAAAGAGGGAAGTTAGAGAATAAAAACCTCTTTTTTTCATTCAGTGGAATGTTTTTGGGTTGAAGGTTCTACATATTACTCTTGCAAACAGTCTTTTTTTTTTGGATTTAGTAGTCGAGACTATTTTCTACGATATTATTAATTGCATGCAACTTCCTAGGCGCTAATACTCATGATTACTCAATGCACTGTATCATGTTATACATGATAATATCATTCCTAAGTGCACTCCAACATTCCCCTTCAAATGAAAGCTTATAAAGCTTTTTTCAAATAAACGTTCTCCTTTTTTAAATAATGTTGTATCTAATAAAAATAGCTGAAAAGGTAACATAGGGCATGATTAGACCAATCATTAATTGAAACTGGAGATTGGCAGCTGAAAATGGACACAGCTAGAAGTTGACACAACTGGAAATGGAAGCTGCTAGAAATTGACATAAGTGACGCAGCTGGAGGCTGACAGCTGGAAATTGCTAGACTTCATCGTAGAGTGTCTAGAAAAGCCAAAAACTGCTTTGAGTCACTGAAAAGTTGTCAGAAAAGTTAACTGTAGTTTTATATCTCTGGCAGGTGGTGGGAAATCACCAGAAAGGTACTGAACGTTGTGGAAGGTTAAGGAAAGTTTTAGTAAAGTGAAAGCTAGCTGGAAAAGGGTATCGAAAAGCTGCAGAAACTTTTTATGGTGGTGGACAGCAGCAAGGAGTGACTGATAGTGGGGGAGGAGGAGGAGGAAGCTAAGCACTGTATCTAAATTAATTTTAATAGCAGTGCTACTTTTAGATAAAATAGAAAAGAATAGCATCTCTGAAGTATTAGTATAAGAACTCACATTCGGATAGTTGCTAAAGTTTGGTTAACTTTTCAACCACCTGCGTAGAGAATCATTCATATGCGTTAGAGGTAAGGAGATAGAATAGAGCTAACTCCGGAATCTTTCCCTATATAATTAAGATGCTGAAACCAAACATATTGTTGCTCTTGATATTCCAGTGAGACAGAGGTATAATAAACCTTCCCATTACATCTAAACTATCTCTCTATTCTCAAAATACCATATATGGTTACTTATGGCATTGCGCCCTAAATCGCTGCACTCAAATTCAGTATTTAGACGGAGTCATGCGCAAATTGGAAGCTGGTCAAGATGTTACTAATTGTGTTCATATTGAATAAATAGTATATTGATATCATTGACTAGTGTACTGGTATTTGACAGGTCATGGCCATGGAATTGGGAGTGTACAAAATTAGAGTGAATTCAATATCCCCTGGAATTTTCAAATCTGAAATCACTGAAAATTTAATGCAAAAAAAATGGCTGGATGATGTGGTCAAGAAAATAATGCCTTTGAGAAGATTAGGTACTTCGGATCCAGCGTTAACATCTCTAGCTCGTTATCTTATTCATGATTCTTCAGAGTATGTCACGGGCAACAATTTTATTGTTGATTTTGGAGCCACCTTACCTGGTGTGCCAATTTATTCTTCTTTATAAATTATGTGTACATTGTTCACTAACCCAATATGGATGGAGTTCTGAAGTCTATGTATATGGAGAATTATGAACAATGGCTACCGCCTTGGTCCTACTTTACAACTTTTCTCGAAGTCTATCATTGAATCATGTGATCATGATATTGATTGGAGTTTTAATGATATGTCCATAACTTCATTGTTTTCCTATTCACTTAATAAATGACTTCGGAGCTCAAAAAGTTAGAAAAATATGTTAAGCTTCTTAATTTTGTAAAAAGGAGTGTTTTATTTTTTATTAAGAAAATAAAAAACTTCTCCAATGTATCTCTGTGTACAAATACAAGTAACTAGATTTTTTTTTTTCGTAATCATTCTTCTTAGTTGTTCTTTTATGGAAACTTCATTTTAATCCAATTGTTTACTTTTATACCAAATTCTCAAAAAAATTTCCATCCAACACATCCAATTCAATCTTAATAATTGATGAAATTCCATGAAAAATTCTCAATTGTGGGAAATTAGACGTGTTTTTTTTTTTTTGTCAAGATTCGACATAATTACAATAAGCATGTGGTGATTTGGAAGCAAAAGAAGCATCACAATTGAAAATATATGATTGTACTTTTTTAATATGTTACGAGTAATATAATTATAATCTAAATGAATTATAGATAAAATATAAATATGAGAATTTATTGAGATTCATTTAAGAATTCAAATAGATATTAGATTAGAGAGATTAATTTTATTTTACGTATGTTTAAGAGTGACAATAAGTGGCATGTAACTTACAAATTTACGTGATATCCAGTTATTTTTCATCAAATTTAATTTTATTTCTGTATTTTTAAAAACATATAAATTTTATTTTTTTATCCATTTTACGATAATAAAAGATTATTATTCAATATTATATTTAAACATAAAGAAATATTATAGTATTATATTTATATAAATTTAGTTCTTAAATTAATTTTATAATGATAAGCAATAATTATTAAATTTAAAATTAAATATGAAAAATATCTAAATTTATATATTTTTTAAATTAAAAAAGGGATTAAAATACAAACATCAAGCACAATTAAAAAAAGCCAAACACACACACACACACACACATATATATATATATATATATATATATATATATATATTTTTTTTTTTTTTTTTCATAATCAAATCAGAGGTACTTGGAATGAAAGGAGATTGTTCTTACCAGAATTGGAAATAGAAAACAACAGCGCATGGTTTTGAAATATTATTGAAGCTCCGATTTTTTGCTTCTAAAACCCTACCAACTTAAAAGCCGAAGGGAATAAACCTCATAGTCTCTGCAGACACTCCTTTCCGCTGTGTTTCAAATGGCGAAACGCTTGATTCCTCTCTTCAACCGTGTTTTGGTCGAGAAAATCGTCCCTCCTTCAAAAACCAACACTGGGATTCTGTTACCTGAATCCTCCTCCAAGGTGCTCAATCTCCTAATTCATTCACACCCCTTTCATTTCCTGCTTTCTCGGTGTTCGCTTTTACTCTCAAAAGTTTATCTTGCTTCATCTCACTGTTTCACTTACCATGTTATTTTTTAATGCTAATATGGATTTTCAACATTCCTTGGGTTTCATGCTTTTGATTGTTTAATGTTTTGGATTAATTGGATTTTAACCAGTTTAGCAACTACATTGTGATTAATGGACCCTCTGATTAACTATGTATGCTAAAGGGACTTAATAAATAAATGATTTTAGGACTTGTGAGTTAGTTTCCATCAGATATGCGCTAAAGTTTAGCTTAGTTGTTGACCATGACACTGGAAATAGATTCCTGTTGTATGTTGCCTACGATGAAATGAAGCTATGAGACAAATACTAATTGTTGATTAAAATTGATTTTGGATATGGTAATTGATTGTGCAGTTTTATGTTGTGTAAATAATGATAGTAACAGGTGAATAATAGATATCATAATCTTACAAGTTACAGTTCGAATCCTACAATCCTGTGCATTTGGGCTATCTATTGATTCGTTTCTCAAGATGAATCTTAAATGAACTTGTACAGTACTATACATGAATGAATCTGTGTAATTAGTATCACTGATAAGATTCAACAATTCATATGTTTTTACCTTTTCACGCACTCATGAAAAAAATTGAAGTCATGTGAGCTTAAATCTTAGTGAAAGAAATTTGAAAGAACACCTGTGAACATATTCTATTTAATTATTCCACCTTTATTTGTCACTCACTCATTCAATGCAAGTACTCTGTCGGATTGTTTTGTTTCCCTTCTTCTAGAATAAAGAATTAACAGTGTTAGATATAATTAGTAGTTTTATTTTGTATGACTTTTGCTTAAGTTATTTTACCTATTTCTAGCTTAAATTGTTTACATTGAATACTATATATTATCTACAGGATATATTTAAAGTAGTTTTTCATTGTACTTGAATCTTACAATTTGATACCAAATTACGATTCACAACTAAAAAAGTAGCTTGGCGACTCAATGTAAATCACAATTCTATATCCTTGTGAAGGGCTACTGTTAGAAAAGAAAGTTAAGATTTTGCATCCCACTTTGAGGAAAAAAATTAGTGTATGTTTTGGTTTGGGGTCAAATGCTTACATTTAAATTTTGAATTTATTAGACCACCCTGAAAAAAAATGCATAATTATTTTATTGTTGTCTATCAAGCTATGGGAAATGATGGTTTGAACACTGTAAGATTTGATTTTCTGATTCAAATTTACAGCATAAAGTACATTACATTTTGTTTACACAGAATTTATTCTTGCTTTCTTGATGTAATGTGATGAACTGGTAATTTATTTACAACTATGCTTCAGTTGAATTCTGGAAAAGTTATTGCTGTTGGTCCTGGAATTCATGATAAGGAAGGGAAGCTAATTCCTGTAGCTGTAAAGGAAGGTGACACTGTACTTTTACCTGAATATGGAGGAACTGAGGTGAAGCTTGATGACAAAGGGTAAGTACATGCCTCATACCGTTTCATTTATATGTGGAAAAAAACCAAAGTGCTGCATTGACTAGAGATAAGACAAAAGTAGTGTATATAAGTGGGGGAACCCTCACTTCATAAGTCAATTTTCTAGAATTGAATTAAATTTAAACTCAAATACTAAGATGATATCCTATTCTATCCTAGATTTTTTGTCAGACCACCTATTATATTATATTATCCATGTCTACACTTTTTTTTCGTCATTCTGTGTGGCTCTACACTATGTTCGATGTGATCAATGCTCTCTTCAAAATAGAAACATGTTTCTTATTTGTATTGTGGTTTGTGCAATAAAAATGTCAAATATATTTTATAAAACAAATATAATCGGAGATTGTTTGTTAGTGGTCCCTAAGTGTAATCTGACATAAAATTGTAGTAGTTATTATAGTTGAGGACTTGCAATGAGTGAAGAAATTGTTTCTTCTTTATGAAAGCACTTGAACTTTGACAATTTTTGGGTTAGGTACCCTACGATGACTAAGGCGTATTTTAGGATAAAGGGGAGTAATAGGGGATTAGAGTGATATATAGGTAAGGTGGCATGGCGTCATGGAACAACCTGCTTCGAACATGTCAACAGGGTATTGTGGGAAGCATGGGACACGATTGTCTATATGAGGGAGGAAGAGAAGAAAAATGGAAAAAAGTAGGAACCTGGAAATTATTGAATGAAGAAATTTGTTGAAGTGAACTGGAGCCAACTAATTTCTGGATTATCTTTGTATATTTGCGTGATCTGTTTTCCTCATTTCTCCATAGCTCTGTCTCCTGTAATGATGTGTTAGGTAACCCCCATTAGTGGTTAGTTAATCTAAGAAATACAAGGGGTTGAGAAGAATTTTATCTTGTCAATTGTGAGAGAATTGGGCATTGGGAGGTGAAGACCCTCGAAGTTCTGCAAACTTAAGCTTTGTATTGAAGGGAGAGAAGAGCATATTCTTTCTAATAAGATACCAGGTTTCTGTCAATGTTATGGGTGAACACATTACCTATTCTTTACGCAGCAGTGTTTTCTGTAATCTTGTCCAACTTTCTATCATTTTCTTTTATTGAATCGGTGTTGTTGTCCTAAAGAGGACAAAGTCCATGCACTAATCGTGTAAAGTTTTTGTATATGGTCATCCAATCACAAACCACCTTCTCTGTTAAGTTTTTTGACTTTGAAAATAATGACTTAAAAGTCATAACGAAGCTAATTTCTAATTGGTTGACAGTGTAAAATCTTTTACATTCAGAGTGCATATTCAATAAACTCTAAGGTAAAATGTTGATGTTTTTACCAAAGAAATGTAATATGGAACAATTTTATCTTTGGTGCAACTTCAGGATTCAGGACTTTACCTTTGAGGTAAATTCTCAACCAAGAGAAACAAGTTATGGCTTCATGCCATGACTTACAGCAAATCATGGTGCAAATCCACAATTATTTTTGTTTTGTTTTTGGTTTTATTTTTAAACTCACATTTTAATTTTCATACAGGAACAATAATGCCAAATAATTAAAAATGACCTAAGATATAACTTTTAGAAATCACCTTACCAGGTGGCGATATAAAAAAAATCCTTTACACTTTCAGTTCATTTCCAATTAAATTCTAAGTAAAATGACATAGTCCTTTTGTTTTTATGTAAGTTCTACACACGTGAGCTTGGACAATCATCTGCACAAATGGAAATATCAAGATCTGAGAATGGATTTTACTCATTTGTCTGCAATCTTAGTTTTAAGCAAACCTGAGTGCTTTTGATGGAAATATTATCTTATTCTCACTTGCAATCTTGAGCAATGACCTTCATTATTGCTGCATCTATTGCAGTGAGTATATAAGATGAAATTAATTTCAAATCCAAATTCTAAGATTAAATTAATTTCAGTACAATTGAAGTTAGCTTCATGTGAAAATTTGTGATCATTTCAGTAATAAGAAAGTTTATCTGGTTGGTAACTTATATCTTTAACTTTCTTGTCGTGTAGGTATCATATATTTCGAGATGAAGATATTCTGGGGACACTACACGATTGATGTTGTTGTGATCATTACCTATTTGGTGGATTCGCATATGATTATGCTGCATTCGAGCAGTTCCATGTTGTAATTTTGATATGTATGCACGATGTTGTTGAGGAAACCACTTTATTTTAAATTTTTTCTCCCACAATGAAGAATGCCATTTCTTTTCTGTGAAAATATAGGAAGCTATTGTTTGCCTAGAAATTAGATTTTAGGCAATGCTTGAATTCGATGTGTTAGGTAGACACAATTAAAATATATGAACTCACGCATCCCAATACAAAACATCTTTATCCGAAGCTTATGTATAATTTTTTTTATTCAAATGTGGGTTGGCGGTACTAAAAGAAAATAGTTGAGATAAATCCGTGATTAACAAAGGTTGACAAATTGAGATCACAATTAATGTTTAGATGCACTGAACCAATGCAAATAGTAGGTACATTTGGAAGGATCAATTTGTTTTGTTGGACTATATGATGTCAATACTAGTTCATGTAAAAGGAAAAAAAAATGCAGAAAGATAGATGGATTGTTGATAACAATTGAAAGGTGATCCATTAGGAATAATCAGTTTATGTGAAGGTTTTGAATGGTTTCCTTATTGTGCTAGGAATACCCCTGTTATCTATTTATTCATATTTGAGAGAATGGTTCTGGAAGTGGCTTTCCTTCCAAAAATGCTTTTAGCAGCACCAGTGACCTCTCTGGTTGGGAAAATGGAGCTTCATGAGCAGCTCCTCTTATGGTGGCAAATGATAAGATGTCTCCATATACTTGTGTCCAACCAGCCACCTGAAAATTATCACAGAAGGTTTGAGTTGAATTGCAATGCACTAAAATGTAGGGAAACTTTTCAGGGTCTTAATCCATTCCAAGTCTTAACCTGTCTTCCCTCAAACCAGGTTCTATATGACACTGTTGTGTTCAGTCCAAAGTCCTTGGCCAATTCATTTACCAGGGTTCTTGTCCCAATTAATGGGATGACTGAATCTTGATCTCCACTGCAGAAAGAGAAGAATTTGCTTTGCTTTACTAGATTAAAAAAATGTTTTGACTTAAATAATTTTGACAGGAATGTAATGCATAGAAATAATTAAGGGGCTTATGGTTTCGTATCACATTAAATACGCAGATCATGATCTAAGTTACTCTGACTAACTTCAATTTTTAACATCCAAAATATAGATAAAGACTCCAAATACTAAACCAAACAAAAAAATCGTTTACCTGTACACTAGAACCCTAATGCCGGACTTTGCAAGTGCACCTAGAATAGAAATAGTTGGAATCTCTAGATTCTGCATGTCATATTTAAGAGTGCTGTGACAGAAGGAAAAATATTAGTAGCTACCCAATACAAATCTCACAGAAAAGTAGAATATTTATTGTATTACATGAACAAACACCCTAATCTTGAAAGTTTGGTGCTAGATGAATGAAATAGGGTGGAACTTCTGTTTTGCCCCTCTCTTTTTCATGACACTATTTTTAGTGATATTAGAATGCTTAACTCCATGCCATGAAATGAAATGTAGCTCAATAACAGCAAGCTTTTATTTCATACAGTATTATTGGATTCAGTTAAAGACCAACTTCTTGGAGAAGATATTATTTACCAATCTCCATAAGATCCATCAACAGTTTCCCCTAACATCTTTCTTGCTTGGTATCTATTTTTCCTCTATTACAGGACTGAAAATCTAATGTCATCTGTTGTGTTTATAGTGTGGTCTTGTCTGCATGTATCAAAATGATCTTAACTGATTTTCTGTCATATTTTCTTCCATCACTGTCACACAAATTTCTTCGTATTCAACCATTAAGTGTCATATATAGAGGCGGAGCCAGAAAATGTTTAGAGGGGAAAAATTCACTGCAGGCCAGGTCCAAAGATATTCAGGATTTATGTAGATAAACTTTTTCAAAATCATTTAATTTTTTTTTTCATAACTTTAAATTCGATTATGCAAAGTTAAAACTAAGAATATGTTATAATTTCTACAAATTAATTTAGGGTCTGTCTCAACAATTTTTTTCATAAGCATTTGTAGGAGAGAAAATGAAAAAAAAATGAAATTAACTTTTTCATAAACTACAAATTTAGAGAAATAAAATCAGAGAGTTTCTACAAGCTAATTTATATTAAGCATAAATTAAATTTAATTTATAGATAAATCAATTTTATTTTTTTTCTTATTTTTTCTACTAACAGTATTTTTAGAGAATTTTTTCAAAGAGATAATTTATTCTCTAGTATAACTTCTCAAAATCTTTATTTTTAACTTTTGCATAAAAATTAATATTAATTTATGAAAATTCTATTTCATTTTTTTCTTCTGTATAAATGTTATGATAAAGTTCATCTAAACATAACTAATTTTAACTTGATACATTTTATTTTCTAGAGAAGATAACTTGTTAAAACATGTCCTTAGAACTTCAGGGTCAAATATTAGAGGGGATTTTTATTTTTAATTATTTTTTTAAACATTTTCATTTTTACTTCAATAACTTTTTCTCTTGTTTTCTGTTTAAAAGTAAACTTACTCGCTGCAAGTTGACCATGAGCTGATCCCTACCAGCTTAGCATGGAGAGCTTCCTGCACGTCTTTCCTATTCAAATATGTGATGGTTTCATCTTCCACACATACATCTATCTTTTCTCCCTCTTGCTGCACAACAGATCAAACCAAGCAAAATAAAATAAGCAGAAAAGTGTCTTATGACTTGTTTGGACAGACTTAATTAAGAATGGATGAAGCATATACCACTTGATTCAGCACATAAGCCTGTTGATTTTCTGATGAAAGACACACATCAAGTGTAACATCATATGTGTCAATATATCTACTAACTTCTGTTGACACTTGCCTATTTACTCTTGAACAAATGGGGGTAAGAGTCCCACTTTGACGTTGTCTCCTGATTTGGGAATAGTTGCATACTTTAGTGAAGATTTCGTAAGTTGAATCTGATATTAGTCCATGGGACCAGAAAAACTCAGCTCTAGAGTTGAAATCCGTGTTAAATTCCAGAAGGGGGTTCCCAATCTGCAAATATGAACATGAGAAACGAGTTCTGGTGTTCAAATTAACAAAAATGCTTCTTATGTATCAATTATTAAATATATCTCGTGTGTACTCACTGCAATCCCCTTGAGATTGAACTTGGTCCTGGTTTGAACAATGAGTTGTGCAAGTTGGGGTACATAGTGACCTGAAAACTAGTGTACATTACCCCACAGAAACTACAAAATGAAACATTATTCATTTACTACACACACACATATATATTAATACCTGCATAGCTCTCCCCTGTCATAAAGAAATCATTGTTTTTGAACTCTGGGAATTTGGTGAACCAACGCTGTAGGAAAACAAGATTGTCCCTTGCTGTAAGGAAGTGGAACCACAGATCAGATTTTGAGAAATGTGACATGATAGTTTGGTCTCAAACTAAATTATAAATAAGGTTAGTTGTTAAGCAATTCATCTCAACTTGTTAGTAGCTAAACTGGGACTAGTTTAGTACTATTTACATGTTATTTTGCACAGAATGCAATTGAAGAAGAGAAGAACCTGTCATTTCATCATTCACATAGTCATAGAAAGATTTATTGACAGAGTAGGAGAAACCAACACCAGCTGGTGATTCTAAGTACAGCATATTTGCCTCTGCAACAAGGACAAAATCAAATCAGTGAGCAATTTTGATTAAACCTCTTAGCATATACCAACTAAAAATATAAGATTTGTTGAGTTATTGGATTACCTTTGTGCCAACTATATTCATTTTTCAAAAGACCATTTTCAGTTGGTTTGAAAGGGCCATGCTCAACAAAAGCTCCAGCTCCAACAGAAGAACAACCAGGCCCTTCAAAACCCAAAAAACATCTTAATTGCTTCTTCCACTGAACCTAAGGGTTCGGTTAAAATTCCAAAACCCAAAAAAAGAAGTTCTTTACATAACAGTATGTACCTCCATTTAACCATAGAACTAGTGGCTTAGAAGCTGGTTCCACCTCTGCTTCAACAAAGTAGTAAAACAAGGCTCTCTTCTGCTTCTCATCCACTGTAATGTAACCAGCATATTGCTGGAATTTGACTGGTGGCTGCCCTGGTAAAGTGCTTATCTTATCAGCCAGTAAAAGTGATGTCACCCACACAGCACTTTGTGCTATAACAAATAATAGTGATGCTACAATCATAACACATGACTGAGATACCATGGTAAGATCGGGGAAGGTGCTGGTTTGAAGATGGCTGTGTGTTTGTGTGTGTGGCTTCTTTGTGTCCGAACTAACCCAGTAATGGGGGTGAAGGTTGAAGGCAGAGTAAGGAATGTAGAAAGCCCCTATATGATATGCTTATTATATTCCTATAGTATGTGTTGACGTGCATATTGGGTCCATGACTCTGCAAACAAATTTTGGTGAAGACCCCAATGTCTTGAGTCTTGGAGCTTGATTATTTCTACTTGTATCTTGCAGATTCAGCCTTCATTTGATGCATGCTGCTATTGTTTTTCTAAAACAAATTGAGGGTATTTTTTGTTTTGGACTGTTATCAATAGAATGAATAATCATGTGCTCATTGAATATTAAAAATGTTAAAAGTGCAATTTAAATAACTTATGCAAAGAGAATACATATCAGTGAAATCATTATTTTTTAAAACCAAACAGATGTCTGAAAATCCGTTCTTGGTCTCTTTTTTCTCATCATGATTAGTATCCTCCCTTTTGAGTTGTCTGTAGAATATGAAGACTAAAAAAGTATGATGTGAACAACTTCACAATCACTGTTCATATAAAAAGAAGCATGAGATTCTTTGGTTCCAGTTCCACACTTGCACCAATTTAAAAATTTTGTCACAGTTTGTTGACTAATCAGCATCGACTCACGGGACATTATTGCATATGGATAGAGAAAGATGATTGCAATAAGACAACTTTGAAACAAGGAGTGGGACATCATTCTTTGGAGAAAGATTGGTGATGAATGAATCAGGACCTTATTCAAATATTCTACCACTTTATCACATTGTTATAGCATCTCAGTTTAAGTATATTTGTGAAAATAAAATAAATACAAACATTTTTGTTTTCACTTATGTCAACTAGTGCTTTTTTTTATAAGTTCATTTTAACAAGAAAAAAAAATTATAAAAAAAAAAATTATTATAAGTTATATTTTTATAATCTTTTTCTCTATTTTTTTCTTTTATTTTTAAGTTGTACATGTTACTTATAACTAAATCATGATATTAAAAATATTTATATTTTTTGGATAAATAAATTTAGAACCTATTACTTAAGTTAATATGTAAAATGATATTATAACATAATTATTTTTTGTCCTTTCATTTATTTATTTTATTCCGTTTGGTTTCTTTGATAATAAAATATTTAATTAAATTTCTCAACACATAAAAAAAAATCATATTCCTTAGAAGAATGTCTTTTTGTCATTTCACACTTCTATTTTATATTTACTTTCATATATCCTTTCATTTCTTGGTAAATTATGGATAGGTATGTTTTCTACATTCCTTCGTTGAAAGTCCCACATCGCCTACCTCATATCATTTGGTATGGTTTAAATACATGTTAGGCTACTCCACATATTGCCAATTGGTTTTATGTTGGAACCTTAACATGGTATCGAGCCAAAGCCTAACATCTTTCCGGTTATTGTCATGGGCCAAAAGTTGCCCTTTAGTTGGGTCAAAAGTACCCTTTGCACTGGTCCGTAGGCTTCGTTGGAGGGTGTGTTGAAAGTCCCACATCGCCTACCTCATATCATTTGGTATGGTTTAAATACATGTTAGGCTACTCCACATATTGCCAATTGGTTTTATGTTGGAACCTTAACACCTTCAATAACTAAAATGAATATTGCATTATTAATCATTTTAAAATATGTTCAAAATGAAATTCTTAATCATTATAAAATATCATCAAGTTGTTACTTGATGTCAGTTCAGATAAATTTTAGTTATAATAAAATATAAAAAATAAACTTAAGGATGTACAGTAGATATGAATTTTAAAAAGAAAATTAAAATTAGTATATATTTTTATATATTACAAGAAAAATATTGAAAATATTATTTTAACGCAATAAATAAAAAAATATTATTCTAGTAATTTATAAATATTTGTGGAAAATAAGGTGCTGAGCGTATTCATATTTTTATAATTAATTTTCTTTAAATTATAATTTTATTTTATTTTTTTATTCTTTAAATATATTAATTTTTCAATAAAAAATTTGATAACAGAATAATCTTTTATATAGATATAACATATAAATTTTTTTTATCAGCATCCCTTTCTAATTAATTTGTTAATCTCTAACTTTACTATAAATAATTTTGTAAACGAAAAGTTTATCTGTCAATTCATTGAACCCTTAAATTGGCAAAGTCAGAAAAACTTTCCAGCATGGGCTGGACATGGGCTATATGGTCCATAAAGTTTGGGTCAAGCAACTTGTTAACCCAATAATTTTTTTATGTATTAATTCAAATATTTATTAGAAAATTTGGGTATTATTTTGAATAACTTTGTAATTATATTTTATTTATAAAATTTAAATATAAGTATTTATTTGAAAAACCAAGTTCATACACTATCACCTGTTTTAGAATATAATAAACTAATTTTTAAAATAGTTAACATGACTTCATAGCTAATAAAAAAATTTTAGACGAGTTTATATGTAAATATTTATTTTTAAATTAAACAAAATGTTTCATTATTTTGGAAGATACTCTCATAATTGATGTAAATTTTGATGATAGCAATATGTATATAAACAAATTATGAATGAAGACACACTCAAGTATAAATGCTATAAAATATAGTTTAAGTTCTAAAGGTTAGTTATATTTTCTACTTAGTTGTTCAGTGTTAATATATAAATAAATAATTATTAAAAATAAGTTTTATTGATTATTTTTTAATCTAGTATCATTAAAATATAGTAATTTATTTACCCTTTTTAAAAAGCACCTAGCATGTAAAATGAATTACTAAAATAGACACTAACTATTTTTGTTTTGGAAATGACCATGTATATGTTCTACATAAAATAGGAAGAGAAAACATAGCAAAATCAGGGAAATAGTTTGTGTGGTACATCCCACAAGGGTAGAAGCATTGTCTTCAAGGTAATAAGATCATGCATTGTTCTTCGAGGGGAGGGAGGAGATAACATCATTTAATCTATGGTCAAGAACACAAATATTATGCTAACACAAAAACATGACAAAATTCATTTGATCATTACAGTCTCTAAGGTGGTTGTCCTCTCTGCCACAACATGTATGAGTAATTATGCCCATACATCAAACATGAACAAAATTTCCTTTTATCAAAACCAGAATAATTAACAACAATTACAACAACAAAATGTGACATAATCTACTAATGAAAAATGACTAAATAGCTGGGATGAGAAATGAAAAAGTATATAGAATAACAAATGCTAGACCTTGGTTGCTACATGTCTCATTGTTTATGATTTGTTTCAAAACTTCATCCCAACAATTGCTCAATGATCTCGGAGAGGGATGAGTAAGATCCGAAACAGCTTGATACAACCCCTACTGTTATAATTGTAACACAAAGTGCTACCTGTAGAAATAAGGGGGAAAAGTTGAGTCACATTAGGGTAATCATAAATGGACAACAAACGAAGAATGTTTGAAAAGATTTGGTCATGTAACAAAAATATCTCATGGTCTAGCATTGCTACATAATCAAAGTTGTAATGATTTCAGCACAGCATGTTACAATTCAAATTGCCTTTTTAAATTATTTATTTTCCAATTAGGTTTCAATGAATCAACATCTTATTTATAAAAAACCTTGTGTAGTTCACTTAAATATGATTATGACACAGTGAAAGCTCCCACTTTTAGTGGTTCATGGAAAAGTTGTCATTGATTCAGAATGCTAAAAATTTATAACTGAACCTAAAAGAGGTAGAAAAGATGAGCAAAATCTATATCTTAATATTTAATTTTGTATATTTTATAGTTTTATTTTAAGAGTTTTAATAAAAGTTATGAAACTCATTAAATAAAACAGAGAATGTACACATAATGAATTCACTGTTTATAACTATTTTTTCTTCTAGAAATCTGCAAAAGCTAAATATTTTAATATAACAATTAAAAAACTCTCGATTGTCAACACAGACATACTATATGTTTATATTATAACATTACAAGGATGTTTTGTAATGTCTTCTGGCCTTTGGCTGAGGACAGCTATTCTCATTAAATAACGAAACTGTTATTATTATTATTATTATTATATATATATATATATATATATATATATATATATATATATATATATATATCTCATTCAAGCATTACTAATATGAAGAGGTAATCATCGTATCATACCTGAAAGTGTGACATTCTGCCACCCCTTATGCTTAGGAAACAAGCAGCAGGAAGAATCAAGGACTGTATTAAAGGTTGAACATATTAGAGTGAATGTTATGGTTAGTATCTCTTGGAGAGAAAATAGAAGAACTTGAGGGCACTTACAACAAACATTGTGAGTAAAGATCCAGTCAATGACATAACCAAACCTGCAACATATGCACTTCATAGTAAAACATAATCCAAATATGCAATAGTGAAATAATTTGTCAAATAGTAATGAGATTTTAACTTAAACGATAAAAAGGATCCTTTAAATCAAATATAAGTTTTTCATTTGGAATAAAGACTCTTCTCCTGCATGTGTAGTTACTTTTTTTTTTCTTTCATTCCTTAACTTCTGCAAGGCTAATAAATTTGTAACTGGCCATAAAAATGTGAAAGGAAGAGGGATAGAATCCTTGGTTTACATAAAATCAATCCTGACCATATTTCCTTCATATTTGTTTGATTTCTGCACTAGTTCTTGAGTCAATTGACAAAAAGTTGTGACACTTCTCTTGGCACAAAACTGATAAAAATGTTAGGAAGGAAGAATAATAACTTACCAAAAAAGGGAACTGAAAGACCAACAAGAAGTGTAGAAGCTACTAGAGCTGTTCTAATGAGCTTGGAATATATGTTGAAGTTGGGATTGGTTGGTGGTATCAACTCCTCTAAACACATTGCAACTGGAGATAGACTCAATGCATATGTGGTGCTAATTAAGAAAAACATTTATCTTTATCTTCACAATGTAGGTAGATAGATTGAAATAAATTAATTGCATTAACTCTTTTTTCAAGATTAAAAAGGGTACCCAAAGAAGAGAAAGCTAGAGAAAGAACAAGACATAAAGTGTCTACTCTAGGAATGTTCTATTTACATGATTAAAAATTTAGCTTGTTAGACAGGAAACATTACAATAACAGAGGAAACGAACTGAATCTAAGTAAAATGCTTCTTAAAATTACAGTGAAATTCCATGACGGGTTGAAGATCAAGCAAGTTAATATTCCTTCCCTTTTTAAAACATGTATTGACTGTAATCATTCTATTCATATAGAGCTACTCAACAAAATTACACGAATTTATTATATTCAAATAATTCCATCTCCTTAAATTATTTGTAAATGAAAAGAAAAAATGCAAAACATGTCTTTTAACATATTCATAACTTTCTGGAAAATCAGTGTCAGAAATCATGTTCATGAAAAACATTCTTAATGTTGTAGCATTTCTTACTCATCTGGTGTAAAATTGATGGATTACTGCCAATGAAACTAGTTGGTTGGCTCTTATTTATATTTATGACACAAATTATCATTCTTGTTTCTCTTATATTCCAATTGATGTCAAAAACACTTATTATTAGTTGTTGAGAGCACTATTTTGGTAAGCAAGCACAAATGTATATTTATATGCCACATATGAAGGATATTTTGTAAATGGATTAACCACCTGCAAAATAACATGAAATAAGATTAGCAATTTGTATGACTGATAAATATCAATAATACGGTGACATATATATATATCACCAAATAGAATTACTTTTATTAAAATGATCACTTGTTTTAATTTTTTAAGTGTATGTTTCAGCATTTCAAAATAATCTAGTTAAAATATCTAAAATATTAAACTAAATTAAAAGTTGTTTTGAATAGCTTATGATCATAAACTCAGCTGCTTCTTTTAAATCAAACGTTGTTTATGATTGTATATAAACAAAAAATTGATTATGATTTTTGAAAAAATCTCTATAGAATATTTGTATCAAAATTACTTCTTCGTAAATCTTAAATATTTTGAATGATATAATTTACTTAATTGCCTAACCGAATTTCACCAAGGTCAATTGTTCAAGAATAAAAGAGTTATGATACATTGAAACCCGTATAAAAAAATACATCATTAAACCACCTTATTTATTAATATTATATTTATAAAATAATTTGATTAAAATAAAATTAATTAAAAAATATTATTTTATTAATAAATCAAGTTATCGTTTGTTGTTTGGTAAAAAAGGTTGTATATCAATTTTTTCTTAAATAAAACATGAATAAGGTCACCTGTCTTTGTTCATTAAAAGATATACAGTATAATATAGAATGAGCATACCGTTGTCCACACAGCTATCTTTGCAGCTACCAAGTGTTGGGGCATGTTGAGAGTGAACTGAGAGAGTGTTGATTCTCCAAATGCTGAGTAACCCATAACAGCTACTGCACAGTACAGAGTTGTACAAATAACAAAACTGCATGGAAAAATAATTACACATTGAATGAGATGAATTCATAAAAGAAGACCCTAAAGCATAAGACAGTAGCTAATTCTCTTTTCTATTTCTTACCGGATATACATTCTACAATATATGAGCTATAAATAGTACAAAAATATGCTTTATTCTCCCCTTTTCTGTTATTCTTTTTTCTTATATAATTTGTAATCATTGTTATGATGTAATTCAAAAAATTCATTCCAACCATTTCCTCATGTTCCTTTTTTTCTCTCTTATGGTATCAAGAGCTTTTTAAAGGTTCTATGTCAGGTTCTATGTCTACCAACTTTGATTTTAATCATGAGGAAACACCCCCTCCACCTCCTCCCTTTATCGACCCTAGCCAGCAACCTTCTAGCCCATTCCACATCCATCCCAGTGAAAGTCCAACCTCCATTATTGTTACCCCTCCACTCAGAGGAAACAACTACCAATCGTGGTCTAGATCCATTCATGGCCTTAATATCCAAAAACAAAATGGGTTTTCTCACTGGAGCTATTTTCATGCCGGCTAGCACTGACCCTCTGTTTCCTCACTGGGAGCGTTGCAATACACTTCTCATGTCTTGGTTGATTAACTTTGTTTCTTCTTCTATTGCCCAGAGCATCATTTTCTTCGAAAATGCTGCTGCCATCTGGGCTGACCTTTGCGAACTATTTTCTCAAGGCGATTTGTTGCGTGTTACTGAGTTACAGGAGGAGATTTACTCTCTCAAGCAAGGTTCTGCTTTTGTCACCGATTATTACACTACTCTCAAATCTATGTGGGAGGAACTAGACAACTTCCGTCCATTGACTCCTTGCACTTGCTCAGCCAAGGATTTTCATCACCCGGATTTCATTATCCGGTTTCTCAAAGGACTCGATGAGCGCTTCGCCATGGTCCGATCACAAATTCTACTTCTGGATCCCTTACCTTCTGTCAATAGGATTTTCTCCATGGCTATTCAGCACGAACGACAACATTCCACCAATACCTCATCGTCGCTCGATGTTAACCTGTTTGCCAATGCCGTTTCTGGTAGAAGTCGCGGCGTTCTGCAGTTAGGAAGAGGCAAATCATCCACTTCCACCAGCTGAAAATGCGACCACTATGGCCGCCTTGGTCACACCAGCGATGTCTGCTATCAGAAACAAGGAAACGTTGTTCCTAAGTGCGAACATTGCACGCGATATAGTCATACTATGGATGTATGCTACGTCAAATTCGGATATCCACCAGGTCACCCAAAATATCCGGGTCGACCTCGCCTTCCCAACAAGACTGGAACTTCTGGAGGTGGCACCGCCGCTGTTAACAAACCCAGTCCCAACATCCAGAAGTTCTTATGTCACATCAGTTTTTGTGGGCTGGGCTCTTTTTCCTAGACTCTGATGGCTCTGCTACGTCTGCCCACTACAAAACAGACCTTATGTATAAACAAAACATCAGGGATTGCCATCAGGTAATCTCTTAACGATGGGATTGCCCACTACAGAAGGGAGACAAACCCTACGTGGAGAAGAACATAACGATGGGTCATTTACAGTACCCAGTCCAAACATCACATAGGCCCAATTCCAACAACTGATGGCTCTGCTTCAGAAAACTCAAGTTGGTGGTGCGAATACAAGTGAAGTACCCATAAGGGCCAACCTTAGTCACTCAGGCCCAAATTCTGTTTCTGATCTGTGTGGTACCTCTTTTATTTTTTCTATCAACACCACACACACACCTGACACAATTAAGACACCCTGGATTATGGTTTCAGGGCCACAGACCATATCACCTGTTCCGTGCATTACTTTCACACTTACTCTAAACCAGTAAAAATTAATCTACCCAGTGGACAATTTGTTAAAGCCCACATTGCTGGAACAATTTATTTTTCATCAAGTTTTGTCATTCATAATCTATTGTATGTTCCTGGTTTTACCTTTAACCTTTTGCTCATTTCTAAATTACTTTCCAATCTTAACTATTCCATAATCTTCTCTCATACTTTTTGTAAAGTACAGGAAGTGAACATATTGAAAATGATTGATTCGGCTAAATTAAAAAAAGGATTATATCACTTGGAAATCGGAGATAGAGGATCACCTTCACAATCACCTTCCACCATGAACAATGTAAACATCAACCATACCAATGATTCTACTCTTTGGCATTTTAGATTAGGATATTTATCTAGAAATCGTCTTAATATCTTACATCAAGAGTACCCTTTTATCTCTAGCAATTTTAATAAATTTGTGATGTCTGTCATTTAACAAAACAAAGGAAGTTACCATATTCTCTTAGTATTAATCGTAGCTCTAAAATTTGAGTTAATTCATATGGATATTTGGGATCCCTTTTCCAAAAATTCTATTCATGGTTATATATATTTTTTTACTATCCTTGATGACCGCAGTCGTTACACTTGGGTGGTTTTGTTAAAAACAAAAGTAGAAGTTCAAACATATATAGAGAATTTTGTTGTTTTGGTTGAAAACCAATTTGAAACAACCATCAAGTGTATACATTCTGATAATGGATCAGAATTTTTGCTGAAATTTTTTTTTCTTCAAAAGGTATAATCCATCAAACAAGTTGTGTTTACACACCACAACAAAACGGGAGAGTTGAACGCAAACATCAATACATTCTTAATGTTGCTAGGGCCCTCATATTTCAATCTAAAATTTCTGGCCTTACGTCATCAAACATGTTGTCTTCTTAATTAATCGTGTTTCTTCTCCCATTAATTTACACAAGACACCTTTTGAACTTTTGTATAAACAAAAACCCGATTTTTCTATGCTCAAAGTTTTTGGTTGTCTATGTTTAACTACAAAACACACCTCTCAACACAAATTTGATGCTAGATCTCGAAAGGGAGCCTTTTTAGGTTATGAAAATGGAATAAAAGGGTATGTTGTTCTTGATTTAAGCAACAAAGAAATTTTTATTTCCAAAAATGTCCTATTTCATGAAATGCAATTTCCTTTTCACAAAGACAGCCCACACACTATAACCATAAGCCCACAAATGGTTACCATACCAGCACCACCCATAGCCCAAGACACATCTCCTAACCTCACCACTCCCACTCAACTAGACGGATCCACCATCTCTAATGAACCAAACTCACTTCCTCCCTCTTCTCCAAATACCATCTCGCCGCTCCTTATGCACCCAGAGACACCAAATTCTTCTCCCTCATCTCCCAATTCGCCACCACCCGAGAACCCTCCTCTACCTCGTCGTTCAAATCGACCAAGCCAACCACCCTCTTACCTCTCCAATTACAAGTGCAATCTTCCACCTCTAAAAACCGTTAAATCAACTTCAACGTGCTCTTTTCCTATACAATCCTCCATCACATATGACCGGATTTCTCCCTCTCATGATCGGTACATCATGTCTCTGTCCTCTGAGTCTGAGTCTGAGCCCACCAGCTTTCACGAAGTCGCTCAACATCCATGTTGGCGAGAAGCCATGAGTCATGAAATTGAGGCCTTGATGATGAACCAGACTTGAGATATTGTTCAGACCCCTCCTCGTGTCCGGCCCAATGGCTGCAAATGGGTTTACAAAATTAAGAGATTACCTGATGGCAACATCGAACGGTACAAAGCGCGTCTCGTTGCGAAGGGGTACTCTCAAATTGAAGGTGTGAATTATTTTGAGACTTTCTCTCCTATGGTCAAGATGTCCACAATTCGTGTGGTACTTGCTCTAGCTTCAATTAATCACTGGACCCAACACATTTCTACATGGAGACCTGTCTGAAGATGTTTATATGATGATACCGCCTGGATTGCCTGGATTCAGCCCCTCTCAGAGTTGCAAACTTCACAAATCCCTTTATGGTCTGAAACAGGCAAGCAAAAAGTGGTATGAGAAATTATCCTCCCTTCTCTTAACTTATGGCTATCAACATGCTCATGCTGATCACAGCCTTTTCATTAAGAATCATCATTCTAAATTCACTGCCCTCATTATATATGTTGATGACATTGTTTTAACGGGTAATTCTCCTTGTGAAATAACCAATATCAAGAGGATTTTGCATTCCAATATTCACATTAAGGATCTCGACACATTGAAATATTTTTAGGTATCGAAGTGGCCCATTCAGCAAAGGGGATTTCACTATGCCAAAGAAAATATTGCCTTGACCTTCTCAAGGATTCTAGGATGCTTGGTTGCAAGCCCTCCTCTACACCTATGGATAGCACTCTTCGACTCCATGTTGATTCCTCTAGCCTTCTTCCTGATCCACTACCATAGCGAAGGTTGGTTGGTCGCTTCATTTACCTTACTAGCACTAGGCCTGACATAGCTTTTGCTACGCAAAAATTGAGCCAGTTTATGTCAAAACCCACTAAAGCTCATCACAATGCGGCCATCAAGGTTCTCCGCTATCTCAAAAGTTGTCCCGAAAAAGACTTGTTTTTTCCCAAATATTGTACTACTCAAATCCGTGTTTTTAGTGATGCAGATTGGGCAACTTGTGTGGACTCTAGGTGATCCATAATTGGCTACTACTTCTTCATTGGTAATTCACTGGTTTCATGGAAGACAGAAACAAGACAAAGAAACAAAATACAGTCTCTCATTCTTCTTCCGAAGCTGAATATCGCGCTCTAGCTTCTGCAACCTGTGAATTGCAATGACTCACTTTTCTTCTTAGAGATTTGCAAGTTCTTCACTCACCTTAACCTATCCTCTATTGTGACAATTAAAGCCCTCTTAACATAGCTGCGAACCCCGTTTTTCATGAACGGACGAAACACTTAGATATTGATTGTCATCTAGTTAGAGAGAAATCCTAGGCTGGCCTTATGCGACTGCTTCTAGTTTCCTCTTCAAACCAATTAGCTGACATTTTCATCAAAACCCTCCCACCTCACCTCTTCACTGTGAATTTATCCAAGCTGCAGTTAGTTGATATCTACCTACCTCCAGCTTGTGGGGGGCTAAAAGAAGAAGACCTTAATTAATTAGAGCATAATGCAGTAGCTAATTCTCTTTTCTGTTTCTTACCCGGATATACATTCTAGAATATATGAGCTATAAATAGTACATGAATATGTTTTATTCTCTCCTTTTCTGTTATTCTTTTCTCCTATATAAGTTGTAATCATTGTCTTGATGTAATACAGAAAATTCATTCCAAGCATTTCCTCATATTCCTTTTTTTCTCTCTTAATTCATAAACATAAATTTTGCAGATTTACTTTTTCAGGTGATAGAAGCGGTTGTGTTAAGAGTTAAAGAAGAATTTAAGGCAGCTACATTCCAAAGTCTAGACATACTCCAAGTGTCAAGGAAAGTAGGACAAAACTTTCTTTTACTTGAGATGCTTTTTATCAGCAAGCTTTTAGCATACTTGAGATGTTTTTAGCATATTTGAAGCAGTGGTTGACGGGTGGTTGCAACATTGAAGAAACTTACGTGTGGGAAAAAGACATGGAGGTGATGGATGACTAGGTTGAACAGTAAGGCATAAATTGGAAAATTAAGAAAATAAAAACAAAAGAAAAAAGACACACACATATAATGTAGAAGTTTGTGATTTGTTTACCATACTAAGAGCACTCGAGGAAATTGATTCCGATTTGCCATGGCAATGTAGAGGTTTGGAAACACAGCATGTCCTGCGTAGCAGTAACCATAGAGACCCATTGCAACAGGAAAAGTTGCAAGATTGAATATTGATGTCGTTGTTGTTCCTTCCGTATGATGAATCTCTGCTTTGTCTACCAAGCAAACCCAGAACAAGCATATAACCACTACAACCGTTGCAATGACTCCACAAGCTACAGCCACAACGATACGTTCTAAAGGTTACAATGGCTATAAAATCATGTCACAATCGATGTTATAAGTCCACTAAAGCCATACCCAATAGGAGTACTTAAAATGATTGATTAATGTTAAGTAACATTGCTTAAATTTAGTAACTTTAATCATATCATTTGCAGTACATATTCCTGGATCAAATTTTAAGATACCTGAGATGTAACTGAGAATGCGTAGGTCACGGAGCCAAACGGTTGGAAGAAGAGCCACTGAGGTCAATATCGCAAACAGTACGTGTGCATTCACTTCAATTTCACCCAAATTAATGTATGCATTTGGAAATAACGTAGATAAGTTGTCACTCTCCACAATTATGTACTCTATGCAACAAGCCTGCATAAAATTAATTAATCAAAACAAATAAACATTTTGTAAGATGATATTCTCTATGCTAAACAAAAATTGTCAAAAAAATCTATTTGGTCTCTGAAAATATTGATGTAGATTAGGTTTTAAAATTTTCTAATACAAGTCTCCATAATTTAGTTTCATTGGGCAATAGTCCTCCCATCAACACCCAAATGTTTATTTATCCTTTCTTTTCTTCTTTTATTTTATTTTATCAAATAAAAAATTGTGACAGATTTTACACAAAAAAAATAAAAAAACTTCTCCGAAATTCCACCAAAATTAATATAAACAATACAAAAGCACTAAATAATATAAACATTACTAACTTGAATCACAAGTCAAAAAAGTAAAGTTTAATTTTTTTTGACGAACTTGAATCACAACGCCCAAAACACTCTTTAAGATAATTCAACTTTGTGATTCAAGTTGGTGATATTTATATCATTCATCAATTTTTGGTGGCGGAAAGTTGAAGATGAAGAAAAGTTGGGAGAAGAAATTGTTATTTGTTGTGGTTAAAAATTCTAACATTTTTTAACTAAATTATTAAGGGACGTGACGAAGACATGAATTAATTAATAATTGAAATATGTGATTAATTGAGTTGAATATAAATAAAAATATAAAATATATTTAATAAATATTTAAAAATTTTAAGTATATATATATATAATTTATTTTTAGCTTATATTTCCTATTATTTTACTATGAAAAAAAAATATAAGAGATAAGATATAATGAAAATTATAAACATAACATATATTAAAAAATATAAAATAAATAATTATTAAAATAAGATAAAAATATAATAAAATAATTATTATTTAAATTTCACTTAATTAATAAAATAAAAATAAGAAAAAAATATTATATCTTTTATAAAAAAATATTAAAAAATTCTTCTTAATTTTATTTTTCACTAAAACGATTCAATTAAAAAATTTAACCAATTTTATTCTATTTTAATTAAAATGTAATTATTTAAAAATAATAAATTAATTTTTAAATCGATCCCCAATTAAACCCGTTAAACCGAGTAGTGTAATTTGATTTTCAAAACTTAAAAAACAATGCCTGAGATTTGAGGGTAACAAAGTGACATGGAAGAAAAGAAGACATGCACTTACATATAATTCCATGTACAATATTATCTGTAATAAAAAAGATAAAAAAATTAAAGTCAGTAGCAAGAGATTAGAGACTAATCACTGCTTTGAAATTAACAAGAAAAAATGAGGACGTTTGAGTATGACAGACCGAAATGAGGACACGTCCAGTGGTACCAAAAGCTGCTTGGCCAATGTCAGGGTATGTCTCAAGGCCAGGTGCACTATCCAAGCAGTAACGCAGGAGCAAACCAGTATAATACGAAAAAACTGCATAAAATAACAACACTGAAAGACCAATCCATCCTCCTTCTTTTACTGCATAAGGGGTTGAAAGGATTCCTATTCCACAAAGGGCATTTATGCCTGCATATTCCAACACACAATTTCATGTTTCCTTTTACCACACCACGTTATAAAACAGAGCAAACACAACTATCATTAGAGACTGACTATATTCGTAGCAATCTTCACTTGTTTTAATTTTGATAGTCTCTATCCAACAACAAATTATACCAGTACTTACCATTAAGCACAGCTTGTCCAAAAGAGCATTGACCAGGTATGTGAGCTTCATGAGAAACCTTGGAAGCATCTTTCCTGATGATAGATTTCCGCAGTTGCTCCTCGTCTGAGGTTTGCAGGAGTGGTTTTTTCTCTGGTTGTACTATTTCAAGAGTTTGCTTCCTTGTCAAAGATGAAGATAAAAAAGAACTTCCTAATCTTGACAGTGATGTGGTGCCAAGAAATCCAATATTTGGTGATGGTACACTACCATATAGATCAATGGATTGCCTGAAACGTTGTTAATTGCATCAAAATAAGTACTTTACTTTATGCATTTCATTCTCCCCCTCTTGAGCAAAATGCCAAAAGAAACATATATGCTATGCTTTCATATTTTTTTCAGAACACAACTGTTCTAGCTATAAGTTACACAAAAACTAGTACAGAAGAAGTTAAAAAAAAAAAAACTATCTTGATAAATATATATATATATATATATATATATATATATATATATAGAAAAAAAGAAAATGTTGTATGGAAATCCAAAATGTTTATGTTTTACATAGTTGTTTATTATATATATATATATATATATATATATATATATAATAAACAACTATGTAAAACATAAACATTTTGGATTTCCATACAACATTTTCTTTTTTTCTTTTTCCAGAAACCACACTGTTAATTGGTAACTTTTCCTTGAAAGAAGCCTTTAGAAAATGAGAAATTACAAATGAATGGCCTGAAACACACTCATTCATGGCAGATCCAAAAACACTGGAAACAGACACACAATGTGAAGCTGATCATGACCTGTAACTTTGAGGCCATGCGATGCTGTAGCTGCTGGGTTTTCTCATTGACTGGTTTTCATTGGAATCATTCGAATAATCCGAACCGTTTCCATCATTCTCATCTCTATGCAGATCCTTCTCCATGTCTTCATCGCTCTCAGCGAACAACATACAACTTTCCGAACCAGAGTTCTTCATCTCCTTTCAATCTGCACTACACTTTCTGCCATTCCAAACGAATATTAATCAATTTATACCAAAAGCTGAACGACCCAGAATCACAAATCACAAAAAAAAAAAAAAAAATGAACAAACAAAACCTCCCCCAGAAGATAGCACATGCAGAAACAGATATTCTCAGGCTTCAGATTCGTTATATCTCAGCCTAACTCGCAATCTTCAAAATCTGGGTATGTCCCAATAGGACCAAAACAAAACTAAAAAATGACAAATAAACAGAAACTTAATTAACGTGGGTAGGACCCTAATAGGTTAAAATTTCATAATCTTCTTTATAAAGAAACGTGATCACATGTGACATGGATCCAAGTCAGATACGTAAGAGAATAGATAGGTTATTTTTCTCAAGCAGTTGTCTTGCATTCTTATCTTCACTTTGTTTGGTTAACGTGAATAAAAAACAAGCAACAGATAACCAAATCACGCAAAAGGGTGTTCAGATCAACCAGAAAGAAACGAGTCATACCTTTTCAACGTGCCCCTTTTTTTTTTAATATCTTTCTTTAAGGTTGCATTGGATCACTAAGGTCTCTTTTTGTTTGATGCAAAAGGTTTTGTTCTCTGGCTTCTTCTGTACACTTCGACATGAAAGATAATTCACAAAAAGCTTGTGCTGTATGCTTGTTCTTTATATGTCAAAATCTGGTGAAACATGAAACAGGAAACATGCAAACATAAGAATAATTTGCATTATTGGATGGCCATACTGGGCTGAATAGCATTTTGCATGTGGCAATCACGTGCACTACTCGTCGACATCACATGTTACACGACCAAAATTTATGCTATTTTAGATTTTTTTTAATTTTCATTGGATAAGATTGTTGGAGATAATTTCTCTTCACATGAATAAAAAAAATCGAAGAAATAAAATTTATATAAATATTTTGAGTTCGTGAATATAGTTAATTCATATTATATATGTAAGAAAGTACAAACCAACTCAATTACATACACATATTATCGCAAATCAACATTTTACATTATCAAATATAAAAACTCATTTCACATTATATTTATAAATACACTAGTAAATGAGTTATAAAATACATAGTCGTATAATGATAATAATTTATAAGATTCTAATTTTAAAAATAATTTTTTAATATAATTTCTTTAATTTAAAAAAATATATATTATATTAATTTATATTTTTTAATTAATTTTAGTTGAAAAATTAAAAATATTTTACTAGGATTTACTGAGTCATGTGTTGTTGGGAGTGGACCACAAACAATCTAATCTAATGATACTGGAGTAAGTCGGAAATGTTTTCATTAATTATCATTATAAATGTTTACTTAAATCCAATATTTGATAATTTCTTTTAAAAAGGAAATGTTTTAACATTTTTAGGAAAGTAATGATAAAGGTCTTTTCTTTTTATAGAATAAAGATATTTTTTCATAATAAAAATAAAAATATTTATGTTTAGTATAATTAAAATATTTTATTTCATTTTCATATAATATTAATTATTTTATTAACATTTTAATTGTTATAGTTAAAAAAAGAATTAATTTATCTTTAGTGAATTATTAAACGATATGTATGTTTTTAATTATTGAAAAGTTTAATTTCAATGTATATGATTAGAGTTAGTTAGATTAACAAAATTTTCTAATTATGTTGGATGGTATTTGAATATATACATTTCATATGATATAAAATTAACACTTCTCTAACTATAATTATTAAAAAATTAATAAAGTAATTAACCATATATTAAAATTAAACAATTTTTTTAATTATATCAAACACAAGTATTTATTATAATTATTGCTTAAAATTACATTTTACCCTTCCTATATTACATGTAAAAGAGATTTGAAACTTTTTTATGATAAAATTTATAACCTAATTGAATTTAATATAGCCTTAATTGTATATAATCAAGTTAAATTATTAATTTAATGTTTTTATAGTTAATATGAATTTTCGTAAATTAATTTTAATTTAAAATAAAAAATATATTTTATTTTATAATTTTGAACTTAGTGACAAAAAATCCTTAAAGATAACTTCAAGAATGAAAAACAAATGTACAATTGAATTCTTCTACAATCAAGCTATGATTGTATGATTCCACTAAGCATACACATAAAGCCTAATTAATCCTAAATTAATAAACATTCTATTAGAATCAGAGATCAAATCCCTAAATTGCAACTCATGTATTATTTCATTCTGTGATTATTTTCAAAAGATCTATTAAACAGTTCAATATAACAATAAATATCATTATTATATTATATTATTTTAGTGGATTATCTTATGTTTATATTTTCAAAGTACTGTTAATGTATAATTTTATTGCATCTAACTAACAATGTATATCGTATTAATTATGTTTAAACTAAAATATTTCTAATTAAAAAATTTATACTATAATTTAAAAATATATTTATAATAATTGTATTATTATCGATTAGTATGATATTTAGATAATTAAATTATAAATAGGAATATATATTATAGATGTCTAAATCATTGAATGAGTTGATAAGTTATATTTCTTCTAAATAATATCGTTAAAAAAATTGGTTGAAAATTTTAATAAGTTAAATTTGTATGATTAAATTAAGAATTTAATTGTTAACCAAATAAAAAGTCTATGATTTATTTTATTTAGTTTTTTTCTTTCAGTTATCGTTTATTTTTAGTCTTTCTATTATCTTAATTATTAGGGTTATTTTGTAATTCTAAGTAAAATAAATTGGTTGAATTGTATATTTAATTTCAAAGATCTGTAATAAATCGAGTGATGAATTTAATTATAGGTTCAACTGATATTTAATTTAATATAATCAAAATTATTAAATAATATTAATATTAATGATAATAATATAATTATTATTTTATTTATTCTATTAATAAATATATAATTTTTAAACATAAAATTATTCAAATATTAATTATGTAGTCTGTTTATTAAAATATTATTCTAAAAAAACTGAAATGACAAATGATAATAAAAACTATTTTTATAATTTATAATTCAAAATTTTGTATATAAGTTGGATAATGGATTATGCTTATAGTAATGTTTAATAGGAGATAGAAATGTAATATTTCAATAATTCATATTTTAATGTAAATGAAACCTTTAGATATTACAGTATATTATATTTACTACAATTAAGCACATTTTATTTTAGAAAATGTCAAATAAAGGGTCTAAAATCGTATAATTGTGATATTTAAAATATTGAAATATCCAATTGATACAGTTAAAATTTGAGAAACAAACGTAACATAATTACCATCTTTAAAAGAAATAATTAAAACTTAAGTTATTAAAATTATACAATAATGATATATGAAGAGGGTAAAAGTGAAAAACTTATACACGTGACATACTTGATTTCAATAAAAAACATACCTAAGGTTTGTTTTTTATATAAGAAATAATTTCTTGAAGATAAAAAAATTATTTATTTTAGAATCACTAGCATATTTGAAATTCCTTAAAGTTTTATAATTAAAGTAAAATTAAACATGAATTATTTAATAGTTATGTCACACTTTAAAAATCACAAAATTATATTTTATATTTTACAGGATACGAAGTAACAGCATTTTGTGAGTTGTTTTCGTTTATCAGTGTTTTTTTTTTCAGATTAATAAAAATATGACGATATTTTTGAAATTCAAACAATTTTTTTTTACGTTGAACATCATTTTATATTTCTCTAGGGCTTCTCTTTATTGCATGCGTGAAAGTTGTATGTTGAAGATTTCTTTTTATTTTTTTATTTTCCTATTTATTCTTATGCTTATGTGGAAGTTAATATTTAATATTATTATAACTTTTTTATTTTTTTAATTTAGGAAAGAAATAAAAGTAATACAAGATAAAGAAAAAATAACTAAGAACTCAAAAAGACACAAGAAGATAAAAAAGAAAAAACAATTAAAAACACAATGAGAGAAAAAAATTAAAAGAGAAGAAAAAAAAAGTCACTCTTCCACTGTACTAAATGAAAATAAAAAGGTTTATTTAAAAAAAACCCTAACCCAAACTTGAACAGAGAAAATGTTTGTTTCATTTTATACTAACCCGTTTTTCTTTCTAATTATATTTCCTCTTCCTTATATGCAAGTTCATTACAAAATTTATTCACCAAAAAATCAAGATATGCAAAAAAATAAATATTTTAAAATACAAATAGATATATTTAATGATGATTAAATTTTCAAAATCAAAATCATAAATTATACTTTCTATCTTTGAAGTAAATACTGTATACTTTCATATTATTGAATTATTAGTCTCTAAACATTAAAAATTAACACGTAGATTTCATATGTTTTATAAAATTAAAAAGAAAAACAAACAACTATAGGTTTTATTTAGTTTGGAAATCAAACTTATCAATATAAAAATACAAAAATATTGATACACATTTGTTTGCTATTGATCGTTTGGTAACACAAACACATAAATCCATGAACACGACTGCGAGTATAAGCAGAAGAATTTAATTTAGTCTAGTATTAAAGTATACTAGTATATAAATATCAACAAATTAAAATTATTTATACATAACTTCTTAAGTAATTAGTACAAAAAAAATTATAATGCTCGTGTGAAAAAACTTACGCCGGCAAATAATAATATATAGAGATATTAGCCTTGAATCAAAAGCTTATAATACGAATAAATGTTAGCGTTAAAGACATTTACATTCAAACGCAACATAAATTATTAGATAATAGTATATTTCGCGTAAAAATACTCCTCTCCTCTCAGATTGGTGAAAACCTTTTTACAAGCAAAGATCCTGGACTTCAAGATTGTTGAACCTTTTTGGATATATTCTTGAGAAGCACCTTGTCGCAGATGATCAGCCACTACCTTTTTCAACCTCTGCAGAACCTATTTCCCCTTCTCTGTTTCCCTCACCACTTGCTATTCTGCCTCTACCTTCAACAAATTGAAAAAGAATAAATAAGGGATTTTGAAAACAGAGAGAAACAATAACAGATGCTGCGTTTTTAGTTTATCAACTCAAAGTTACCAAGAAAAAACAAGGAAGAGAGAAGAGATTGAAACCTTTCCAAGGAATGAGGAGCAGAGGTGCGTGACACGGAAGGAGACACCACCGAGCATCACTGCGACCCGCATTTTTACATTCGGTTACACCTCGATATTAGGGTTGAAAAAAATGGGCCTACAGTTATCCATAATAATCAACTCGGTTATCAATGTCCATCGACCTCGTTAATAAGGGGCTAACGGATTAGAGGTAAGTCTCTTAAATTGTTTTATATACAAAAAATGTTTTATTTTAGTTTTTAAATATATGAGTATTTTTAATTTTTATTTATTAATTAATATTTTTTACCCAATAAAGTAAAAAATTATTATATTCATGTATTAAAATACTTCATTATAATCAATAAATTAAATTTAATATATTAGTATTTATAATATATTTATAATTTAAATAATAATATTATAATTTATTTATTTATTTTAATAATATAACATTTATTTCAATAACGTAAAATAAAAATATAATTTTTTCAAACACTCTTACTTTTTCTCAATTGTAATTATAAATTGCTCAGGTAGCCTACGTGTCAAATGAAATGTGAAAGCATGGGAGTGGGAAGGAACAGAGGAGAATTCTCTTCCTCACAGTGATGCCAAGAATCTTTGATCTCCCTCCCTCCTCACTCAACTCATCAGCAATGGCAATGACAACGCACTGAACACTGAACACTGTCTTCAACCTTCTTCACCACCGTCCCTCAATTACACATCAATGGCATTCCATAGAGCCCCGAAGCCCAAACCAAAATCTGCGAGATCTCCAATTCTGCTCCTCGTCGCAGCTGTGACAGCAATCGCGCTCCTCTTCCTCTTCTCCTCTCTGCTTTCCACCACCGCCACAAAACCCAACCTCTTCCAACGACGCCAACAGCACTTTGATAAGTACCTTTATTGGGGGACCCGCATCGACTGCCCCGGAAAACACTGCGGATCGTGCGAGGGGTTGGGTCACCAAGAATCCAGCCTCCGCTGCGCCCTCGAAGAAGCCATCTTTCTCGGCAGGTACTCTCCCATCTCGCGAATTCCCTCATTTTCCCATTTCAATCTTTTATATTGCAATCCATCCCTATTAGAGATACAGTTACTTTAAATTTGAGTTAAACACTGTTTACTTGTTATCGATTTCAATTTGGATTCTCGAAGTGTAAAACACTTTCACATTGATCCCTGAACTAAAGATATTCAAAATAAGTCCTTAGAATATGAATAAGTTCCTAAACACATGTTAATATTACTATTTAAGTCACCTTAACCCCATGTTAAGTTTTTCGTGATGAACTTGCCCAAAAACCACTCGCGGCAAATATTGTTTCCTGGGAATGTTAAACCCTGAACCAAACACGGACACATAGTTTCCCAATCTCAAATTTCTGGGAAACTTCCCGTCTACCAAACGCTCCCAAGTGTTTGACAGATTTCGTAGCTAAATATATGTTAACATTATTCTTTAAGTCACCTGAATTTTCAATTTTGAATTAAAGTGATTGACCGATTAGATTTTTTCAGATAATCCCTGTTAGTAGTTAGTTATATTATTTTAAGAAATACATGGTGTTATGTTGATGGGTCTGCAACTAAGTAGGTCCATGGAAGGTGGGTTTATGTTGTTAGACCAGTAAGCAGTATATAATTAGGAAGAGAGGGGTTGAGAGGAATGTCATCTTGTCAATTGTGAGAGAATTTAAACACTGTATTGAGAAGGGGAGGAATCCCATATTCTTTCTAATAAGATACCAGGTTTCTATCACTCTTTTGGTTTTTTTGAATTTTCTTTTTTTCAAAGACAAAGATGACAATGCTATACATGTTCAAGTACTTGAATGGCGTTCTACCCTTGAAATTTTGGTCTTTTCTGGATAAACTGTTCTATACGCATTTATACGAGCTTATCTCTTAATTTAAAAATAACTTATGCACCTTAGCTTTTGGAAAAGTTAAGTGATAGAACTCCTGAAAAAGTTAAGTTCATGAGTTGATTTTATCTCAGTAAGAAACTCAATTCATTTTACCTTTATAATTTCTTCTTTTATAAGAGCTCATGAGGAAATTTATTCAAATAAGACCTTAGTTTGAGTTTTTCCTTCTCAATATGTATATAAACCAAGTTGATGTTTTTGTCTTTTCGGTTTTCAATTAATATCGTTTTATTTATTTCCTTGTTCTCTCTTCTTGGATTCAACCATGTTTCATAACATTCACTAAAACAAATCTTATGGAGGCTGTAATTCATTAAGAATGTCTTTATTTAAGGAGTGTAACTATGTGATTTCGATGAATTTGACAAAGAAGAGACAGTTTATTGCTGGGAACAGTAATATGAAGTGTTAATTGCAATTAATACAACTGGAAGGACTGAGGTGCAAAAAATGAGTTAAGTTATGTGATGGTTGCAGAACTTTCGTCTTGCCATCAAGGATGTGTATCAATCCCATACATAACAAGAAAGGCATTCTTCATCATTCCACTAATGCCAGCTCTGAGGAACTGTGAGTTGCTTTATTATTGTTAATATATATATGTGTCTATTATACCTTTTCATTGCAATGTTTTGTGTGATATAACTGGTCTTGTTTAATTTTTTTTTCTTTTAATGTGCTAGGTGGGATGCAAGTTCTTGTGCCATGGACTCTTTATATGACACAGAACTTATGTCAGGTACTGTTCCTGTGATTTTTGACAATTCAAAAGAGTGGTATAGGGTTCTATCGACAAGCATGAAGTTGGGTACCAGAGGTGTTGCACATGTGGAAGGAGTTAGCCGAATCGAACTTAAAGAAAATAGCCGCTACTCTGATTTGTTGCTCATAAACAGAACTGCGAGCCCTCTTTCTTGGTAGGTTCTTAAAGAAGAATTATAGTTGGTTTATGTTATTATATTGTAAAATAAGGTTGCTTTGTGTAATAGTAAGTTGGATGTGTTTCTATAAGAATGGATCTTATTTTGATGTTTAGCAAATTATGCAGGAAACAATAAGGATGGCCTTTTAGCTTTAGAGTAAAATACAAATTTTCTGTATTCAGTTTGTTATGCTTGTGAAGCTGCAAGTATGATCATGATCATTCTTATTTGCACGATTTCTGTAACTATGTCCTTTTTGAAGCATTTTGCAATTTCTCATTCCGAGTAAAGTGTCTTCACCTTCAGATCACATTTAAATGTGTATTAAGTTAACCTATGTTTTCTTGTTAAAGGAATTCAATTCAAACTTGCAGGATAGCAGAAGTTGATATATAATAGAAAGACATTTGTTGATAGGAAGTTAAGAACTCCTGAGCTATTAAAACTGATGTACATGACAGTCTAACTTATGAGTTAAAAATATGCCCAATGTGGTTGACTTTGAAGTTTTAACTGTATCACGTTACAACTAAGGTAATTCTTGCCTTGCAATAACTGCCAAAATGATGCTACTCTTAGATGATTGCTCATAAAATTGATTGTTATATACCTTGGGGCAGAGTTTCTTCTTAAAGTTTTGTTCATTTTTTGAGGTGCTAATGACTTTCCAGGTTTATGGAATGCAAGGATCGAAACAACCGCAGTGCCATAATGTTGCCATATTCATTTCTACCCTCAATGGCTGCTGGGAGACTTAGAGATGCAGCAGAAAAGGTCCACCTGCTACATAGTCTTTAAAGTCGTTAATATTTTCATAAGGGTTTAAGGGTTTTGAATCTATTGCTTGGAGCATGAACTGTTAGAACATTAATATTTTTTGGTCTTCTGTGTTGGATTTGGATATTTTGTATCAATGGGAGCCTAAATGAGTTATTTCAAGGGGGTCATGCTGGGCTAGGCTCTCATGCTACATTTGGTAGATTTAATGAAAGGTTGTAGACTGCGCTCAAGAGGATTTTTTTTTTTTTCTTTTGAACTAGCTTATTTCGTGTCAGCAACACGTGGACTTGACTAGATAGAACCTAACTTTTCTGATGCAATTTTTGCTCAGAAAATGTAACATAATTTTATTGAGGCTGTTAAGTAAGTCCATCTAGCTATAGTTTTGGCAACTCTTAATGCATAGGTGATTGGAAAAAATATATAGGATAAAAGGGCTGTGAGATATCATGTATTGGGAATAATTGCAAGAGATGAGATATCCTGGAAATGGAGACAGGAAAAATAGGTAGTAGTCAATCCCAAATGGTGGTGCGGAGCAGCAGCCAACCCAAACACTATAGCAGGTAGCTAAAGATTTCTATTTTGAATTATACAACTCGCATAGATTATGCTACACAGCGAAATAAAGACAACCTAAAATTAAAGTCCAGAATTTAGAGTATGAGAAATAAACACACATGCCAATTGCAACAAAATAAAGGAATCAAACAAGTTTAAGCCTCTAAGACTTAGAGCAGCTAAATATTCAAATTCTAATACAAACGTTTTAATAGATATCATTCTCTTCATGTCTAACATTGCCTTCTCTTCCTCGTTCAGCTTTCACCACTACTGTGGTAGACCTCTTCCTCCTCTACAATTTCTTTAGCAACGCATCCTTCTTTTTCTTCTATAATTTCATTTCATTTTCCCTTAGAGTGCCTATAACTAAAAGCAGTTACATTTGTCTTCTTTTATCTTGTTTGCCACTTAGTGCATCACTAGCCCCAATTGGATTGGCAACACCTCCCCAAGTCAAGCTATCACCATCAAACACCAATTCATTTTCAGCCCCTTCATCATCACTTCCATTTCTTCCAAGAACCATGCATTGCTAACATTGACACCATTTAAGAATCAGTAGTAGCCAAGATATATCCTAGATATTAAAAAGTAGCATGCATAGTAGAGGAAATGCTTTATGATGTTCCTGTGGCTGAGTTTTTGAACTCATGAAGCTATTACTGATTCAGCCTTTTATTCAAGGATATATTACAGAAGGAAAAAAGAACAGAGATGAGCATGCCAGAAAATGGCCAGATCAGAGATGTGTGCTCACCCAATATTGGGCTTGCGCGTGCCACCCGAAACTGGTCAGAAATTATGTGCACCACTGGATTCTGGCTGCAAATTGACATGGGCTGCAGGCAATCTTACCAGAAAGAGCTGGGATTTGTTGGAGATAGATGACAGTTAGGTTTTTAAGTGGGGGAGCACAAACGTAGAGTAGAAAAGGTTTCAACGGGTTCCATGTAAAGGGGAGAGATATCCCAAGGTTGCCCCCTATTAGGAGAGTAAATTTGGTTATAGCTACGCATTGCGATAGTTTAATAAGAATTAGTTACTTGTTGATAGTTCTCTATGATTCATATAAATTACAACACTATGAATATTTTTGTATCTTTTATCATTCTAATAAATACAATGAGTTACTTTGTTAGTACAACTTTATTGTTGTTTAAGCTCTATGGGTGTGGCCAGATCAAATGGGTTTGCATCTCCTATCAAACTTCTGATATGGAATTAGAGTGACCCTGCTGAAGAAAAAGAGAATGGGATGGAAGTTGAAACTGATGTTGTTGCAAATTTGTTCAAACAAGAAGCCAAAATGGAGGAACTGGTTTTGCAGCAACACTGATGTAACAAAGGTGAATACAACAATTGAATTGAGCAAGACAAAAACAATGAAGAATCTTGTTCTCATTCGGAGCATTTCTCCTTCAATTGATGCAATCCTTCAAGCACAAGAATCAATCAATTTTCCATGTTTTGTGCTTGAGAAGCTTTAGTCTTCCTTGCAATATCGTTGTCATATATTGCAGAGTATCAATGTCTTTATAGACCATATTAGTTCAACATTGATTCCGTGTGTAAGCATAACTGTTTTCGATCTAGGCGGTGAGTTAACCTTGACATTTTTCTAACTTTGGTCCAATGCTTGAGCATCACTATCTTTGATCCAGGCGCTTCATCTTCTGTTTCCTTATCTGGTTTTGCTCTCCCTAACTTTGATTCCAAGTTTGAATATAATATTTTGTTTCGTTTCCTTTGTTTGTGGACACACCTGCATCTTAACATACTTACTTTTGCTTCTCCCACCTTTTTCTCTCGTTATCCCTTGACAGCATAACATTCACTACAACAGAGTACAGCGGTTCACATTGCACTCTAAGAAAACTTACCTTTGAGCTTAGTAGGTACTTTGTGCTAACAAATCCGGTCATTTTTTTTATAGGTCACTATCTACTTTCCAAAAACACTGACAATTTCATGATGATGGCTGGGGGCATGAGCAGTTAAGGGATTTTAGTTATTCTTCTTCGTGGGTTATTGTGTCAATGCTTGTGCCTGCATGTATGTCAGACGTACATTTTTATGCAGACACTTTGCTGCTGAATTTGATAGACAATGAGAACAGAGTGACTGTAGGATTAGATGGATGCTCGATATTATCCTTCCTTTATAATGTACTTATTCATTTCCTTGCATGCACTTTTACCCACCTGAGGGGACAAAATAATGATCCGAATTTGAGGGTTATATGTGAAAATTTTAATGATGTGTAAATGTCAGTGGCTATAAATACAGAGCTTCTGGTTGCTTGCTTGTTTCAACAAATTATTTAATTGATCATAGAAATTTTCACTTGGAAGCAGCATTTAGTTAACATACTATTTTCTTGTTTTTTGTCAGTATGTTCATTTTGTGTGTGTGTTTTGTATATATATATATATATATATATATATATATATATATATATATATATATATTATGTAAGATTATTTATAATTTTTTGGGGTCGAGTAAGAAATTTCCCAGACAAAAGTAGCAAAGTACAACAATGGGGAGGGAAAGACATTCTACAAAACAAAAAGGGAAAATAAACAATGAAAGATCAATAATATGAAAAGGCTATCCTTTGGAATGCTCCAGACTCAAATGATCAGAGAAGCCATAAACACAAATTAATGAGGGAGAATTAAGATAGTCTGATATTGCGACTTCCTGCTTCATAAAAAAATTGGTGGAGGTAGTTGACTATTTGGTGTACTGCGTATAAACTATTTCTAAGGAACCTAGCTGTCTCACTCATTGAATAAAAGTAATTGGCCTAAAGGATATTATGTTCCACAAGTCATCAATTTCCGTAGGTGATGATTCATGTAAGCTTGCTTTGAAATACATTCACTTATAATATGGATATAGATTTAAGAAATGATTATAGAAATTTATTTAGGCACCAAGAGATGACAAATTTTCTTGGATTATCCTATAAATTACAAAACTTGAAATGTGTGTTTGATGGTTAAATCTGTGGCAATGAATAAAACAGTATCTCTTTGTTACACATTTTAATTTTTTTATCAGACTCTTGTTCACAGATCAAAGCATTACTTGGTGATTATGATGCCATCCATGTTCGTCGTGGGGATAAAATAAAGACCAGGAAAGACAGATTCGGTGTAGCGAGGAGCCTGCATCCTCACCTTGATAGAGACACCCGGCCCGAGTTTATTATTTGTAGGATTGCAAAGTGGGTCCCACCTGGAAGAACCTTGTTCATTGCTTCAAATGAAAGGACTCCAGGGTTTTTTTCACCACTTTCTGCCAGGTAACCATTCTTATGTTCATACTGTGGGGGCGGCGGGGAGGGGGTTCCAATGTAATAATTTTCTTTGGCTGCAGAAATCAGACCTGATAGATTAACAGTAATTAAAATATTCGTGTTTAATGCTATATGATATGAGGCTGACCCTAGTTTTTCAATATGCATGGAAACAAATTACTTAAGCTTGTCATATATGTTCTGCAGAAAAGTTATGTGTCGTTTTTAAGCTAATGTCCAGACTCTGAATGCTTTAGTTTTTGAAGCAAACTTTTGGCTGAGATCAAGTACAAGTTAATACTCTTTATGACTCAATTGCAGGTATAGATTGGCGTATTCATCAAACTATAGCCATATCTTGGACCCGTTAATTGAGAACAATTATCAATTATTCATGATCGAGAGGCTTATAATGATGGGTGCTAAAACGTTCATTAGGACGTTCAAGGAGGATGAGACAGATGTTAGCCTCACAGATGACCCGAAAAAGAACACTAAACTTTGGCAGATACCTGTTTATAATGCGGATGAAACTTGCTGACGACTAGACCTAACTATGCAGTCCACCACATGAAATTAAAAAATACGAGCATCCCCAAAATCTTTAGGAAGTAATTTTTGCAATTGAAGAAATGACAGGTGATTGATTAGTTTTCTGTTGTAAATTATGATGTTAGCTACACTCAAGATTTCATTAATTAATTCAAGATTGAAGTAATCACTATATTTTCTTTAGTATTAATTGACATTTTAATTCTCTCTCTCTCTCTCTCTCTATATATATATATATATGTATATGTATATGTATATATATATATATATATATATATATATTTACATATATTTATATTAATTTATTTAAAGTAAATAAAATAGATTTATTTTTTACATCATCATCTATTTTCTTTTAATATAACATTTGAAGAGTTACTATTTGAACTATTAAATGAAAAAAAGAGATAGTTAAGAATAAAGAGGAAGTCTCTTACCTTTCTTCTAGAATAAGTGAATTTTTTATTTTTTACATAGAGAAAAGAATATTATTTATTTTAAAAGTAAAAATTATATATTTATTTTTTGTCTCATTATTTATTAAATTTTTATTATTTATTTTTTAAATAATATATATATATATATATATATATTATATTTTATTTGTGAAAGTTGTATTCAAACTAGATATTTATAATATCATATTTTCCATTTTAATCATTACTGGCAATAGTAGTATGATAGAGTGTTGAGACGAAAACACATGTCATGACACATTCACTTATGCCCCCACAAACTACGCCTAAAATATTTTGAAAATATCATTTTCATTTTTGAAAAAAATAGATTATTTGGCATAGTGATCAAGTATCGACATTTATACATCGTGGAAGTTATTGATGTAGTAAAAAAGAAAATTATTTTATTTTTGTTGTATGTAAAAATATAGTAGGTCAATGGGTATAGTATCTTTTGAAATTTGTGATTGAACAAAACCAATTTCTTTCTGTGTCGGTAACATAGTGGTACGTATTCTTTGTATCAAAGTTTATTTTATGATGTGTATAGTTTATATAAATGCGTTTTTGGTTTTTATCTACTCCCTAAAAAATACATATTTTCTTTATTTAAAACCCTCTAAATATAAGAAATTTTGTCAATACAATCTATGCTTTCATGTTTAATCTAATCGTTTATCAACTTCAAATGTGATTGGGCAAAAGTAAAGTGGCCGATCCTGCTAGAAGCAAAGGTAATCTACAAGTCTTGAATAAAAAAGTATTGTTAGAATTCTAAAAAACATGTAGATGGTTTTTTTTTTTTCATTAAAATTCTGAAAAGTTTTAAGATATAAACTTATTGACATCACGCAAAAGCTAACAATTAATCACTTAAAAGATACAACCATTTACATAATACCAACACACCTTCAAAAAAGATAAATGAAAATAACAATAACTATAATAAACTACCATTTATATTGTACAAGGCCAAGCAAATGTATACATACGAAATTGAATTACTCTTGCAACAAATAGGATTGGTACTATTGAAATTGCATGAGGTCACACTTGTGTATCACAACACAAACTTGAAAACTCAAACTATTGCTGCCACAATTTGAATCACATATTCTATTTTCTAATCCATGATTATAGTTTGAGGGATAAATCTGCTCTTGAGGATGAAGATTGATGGTTCTGTTCAGAAGCAAATCTCACATATCTGTGATAAATATTTTGTGCCGTTTCAGCAGCCACACCCCAAGGGTTGGCCACCCCAAATGGTTGCCCTATGATGGATGTGTTGTTGAACGCCTTATTCTCATATCTTGGTGCAAAGTGAGGCCATGATGCCATGGTGGCCATGTGAGCCAATGGGGCAATGGTAGTGTGATGATAAAGGGGCATTGGACCATGGAAGGGATGATGATGATAATGGTGTTGTTGTGTTAGGGTTGAGTATGGAAACATGAGAAGGCCATGCCCAAAGTTTCCCTTGCCAAATTCTTTATCCATCCTTAAAACCACTCTTTCATGCCTGTGAGCATTTTGGTGTCCTCCAAGAGCTTGAGGGGTTGGGAACTTCTTGTCACAAAACTTGCATGAAAATTGGCGTTGTGTAGGGATACTCAGTTGATTATTAGTGTTTTCCTCAAGTTTTGGAACAACAAAACTTGGTGAATTCTTAGGGCTTTTAGATGAGGATTCATCACTCATTTTGAGAGATAGTAACAACTTCGAATCAACAACAACATCATTGGAAGATGCATCCTCAATCTTCCGTTTCAGCTTTCTACTCTCAACACCTTCAACAAAGACATGTTCTGACATTATGGTATATTTGCTAAGAACTATTATTATGATGTTATGTTAGTTTGAATAAAGGGTATTTATTAAGAGATAAATTTATATTGTATTTTTCTTAAAAGGAAAACTACATCAGAATGCATGAGAGGACCTTTTTGAGTAACAATTAAATTATAAAGAATAAGGAAGAATTCAAATGGGTTTGAATACTTTAGGGTATATTGTTATAAAAAACTGTTACATTCTAAATATTAGATTTTAATATATTTTTTTCATTGGTTGTTTTTAATGATGTTACCTAAATAATAAAAAAAATAGAACAAAGAGTAACCTATATTCAAAGTTTTACAATTCTAGTGTGAATAAAATTGATACCAAGTTAAAGAATAAAATAAAATAAATACTATGAACTAGGGAATAAAAAAAGATAATCATGTTTGACACGGAATAAAAAATGTATTTGAACTTAGATGGTGTAATGTTATTGTCCTACAAAATATAATAACCTAATCATTTTAGTTCCTTTATAATTGATATTGTATTTGTGTTTCCTTAAGCCATTTCATATATTTTTTTAATTCAATATATTTAAAGCAAACATTCCTTCAAAGAAATTAAACCCATCTTTTGCACCATATGATCATGTTGAAAAAAATTACATTTAGTTAATGATAAAAATTTGTAATTAATGTTTCATATTCAATTTATTAGACAACTTTAGTTAATTATCATGAAATATGAATTTCTTTTAAGAATAGTCCATGTCTTGAAAACAATGCATTTATTTTATAACAGTTTCTTCCATATGATAATTAATTTTCATTAAACTTTGTCATATTATTTTGATTCCAAATAGTTTGCAAATTAATGGTCAAACAAATATATATGATTAATTAAAAAGTCAACCATTCAAACTTGACTGTTTCTCTTTTATAGTTAACATAACAGTCAATTAGCGTATCAAAAAATTATTGTAATTTTCAGTTTTGGGAGAAATTAATTATATTATTTTTAGTTTTTTAAAATGCATTAACTTTACTAATATATTATATCTACATCAATTAAACTAGGTTTTGACTTTATGGGGTGTTCTACATCTTTAACAACTAAAATTTGTCAAAGTTTGAACTTCTCAATGGTCATTAAGAAAATTTATTTATTTTATTTATATAATTCATATTTAAAAATGTCATTTTTTTATAATTAATGCAAAAAATAATATGCCTTTGTTATTTAAAAATAAGATGAGTTAGTTAATAATTTAAGGCCTATTAGATTTAAAATGTGTTAATGCAAAAGTTCACATTAAAGGATCAATTTTCATCTATTGACATTCAAACAAAAATGTCCAAAGAGACATCATATTTTCAAATTTGCTTAAAAAACCATCAATAAAACAAAATAAAATAAATTGATTCGATATTTTATAAAATCAACATTAAATTAATATTTTTCTTCAATTTATTTTGTTAACTATTTGATTTCATCATTATATTTTAAAAAAATATTTCATACTAAAAGCAACGAGGGGAGATTGATGGAAATGTCCATACATTCCCAAGAGATGATTTTGATGATGATTCAAGTCAACTACATTCAAGTCAACACCATTCAAGATGAATTAAGGACAAATTGAATTTAAGACGTTGGTGAAAATGTGAAACATTTCCCTACATACCCAATATATGTTTTTGATAAAGATGATGATTCAAGCAAGTCCAAGATGATTCCTGAAAACTATATATAGTCTTAGAATACTGGATATGGAGGTACAAGTTGATGAAGTAATATTATGCATAAGCCTTCAAAGCACAAGTGTGATAAAATTCATAACGTGATATTTTTCACTTGTCATAATCAATTATGATGCATCGAAATGGAAAAATGATTTTCTCGTCATAATTGATTATACTCGGTAACATAATCAATTATGGCAATTCAAATTTGAAAAATATATATGTTTTGAAGAATAAATATTTTTGAATATATCATGATTTTTATTTACAAAAATATTAATGACTAACGACCATTTTCTGATGTTATTTTTCTATTTAATTAAGTTTTGATGAAAAATAAAAAACACACAATTACAGAATTCGAAAATACAATTACATTCAATCAGTTTTGAGAAAAGAATTTTGAGGAAGGCAACAGAGATATTTTACACCTTCTGTGAAAACCCTCTTCTCTACTGTCTTCTGTGTTTTCATTGTTAATCACACTTGTTCTTGGAGATTGACATTCTACAGGCTTCTACAATTTATTGTCTCCATTACCCAGGTGTGACTGTTCTTATTTTTATTACCTTCATCCTTTGTGTATTGGTGGCAAATGAGGTGTTTTTCATCCCTAGTGTGATTCTAGGGAAATGTTCATCCTTAGTGAGATTCTAAGGAGCTGTTTTCATCCTTTGATTTGTTCAAAGAAGTTTTCATCCCTAGTGTGATTCTAGGGAGGTGTTCATCCTTAGTGGGATTCTAAGGAGGTATTTTTCATCCTTTGATTTGTTTAGAGGAGGTGTTCATCCCTAGTGAGATTCTAGGGAGGTGTTCATCTTTAGTGGGTTTCTAAGGAGGTGATTGTCTTTTTAATTAGTTTACTTTTTACTGGTTCTTCTGCTGAGTTGATTGTAATTTGTAAACTAAATTTGAAAGATAGTGAATTGGGAGTCACCCTTGTGTTAAAAGTTGACTAGGAACTGGATGTAGGGTTGACTATACCCGAACCAGTATAAATCTCTGTGCTCTTCTCTTTCCCTTATCTCTTTCTCTTTTCCTTATTATATTATCATTTCCGCTTTATCTGTGTTTAAACAAATTATTGAGTCACAAATAAATTTTTAATTTGACATCTATTTTAATTTGTGCATCTATTCACCCCCCTCTAGATGTCATTTGTCTAACAAGTGGTATCAGAGCTTAGTCAGATAAGATATTTCTAAACGATCTGTCAAGATGTCTATGCAGAATCAGGTTTACAGGTAAGGAGCCTTAATAAACAGACCTCCATTATTTGAAGGAGAAGACTATCAGTTTTGGAAAGCAAGAATGAAAATATTTTTACAAACACTAGATTATGGTGTTTTGGATGCTGTACTCAATGGTCCCTACATTCCGATGAGAATAACGGAGTCTGGAGCTGTTCCAAAGACTTTTGATCAATGGACGCCGGATGAAAATAAGCGTGTCCATTATGATGTAAGAGCCCGAAATATTATTGTTTCTGCCTTAACTCGTAATGAATTTTTCAGGGTCTCACAATGTAAGACGACAAAAGAAATATGGGACACTCTTGAAGTAACACATGAAGGAACAAATGAAGTAAAGCGAGCACGTGAGAACACACTCATCCAGGAGAATGAATTATTTCAAATGCAGCAAAATGAAAGCATCACGGATTTCTAGACATGTTTCACACATATAATAAATCACTTGAAAGCATTAGGAAAAAGTTTTGAAAATGAGGAGTTGAGCACAAAGATCTTAAAATCCTTAGACAGGAATTGACAACCAAATGTCACTGCTACTACAGAATCAAATGATCTCACAAAAATGAATATTGCTACTCTATTTGGAAAGCTGCGAGAACATGAGATGGAGCTACAAAGGTTAAAGAACGGTGAACAGAATCAAACCAAGACGATAACTCTAAAAGTAGAAAAATCTTCACAAGACGAAAGTGAAAATGAAGGTATGTTTTCGGACTCTGATATGTCTCTTTTTGTTAAACAATTTTCTCGCTTTATGAAGAACAGGAAAAAGAGACAACAAAGAAAGGAGAAAACAAATAAATTTTATTGCTATGAATGTGGAAAACCTGGTCATATCAAACCAGACTGTCCGGAACTTAAGAAAGAGAATAAAGATGTGAAAGAGAAGAAGAAAGAGAAGAACGATACCTATAAAAGCAAACGCAAAGCTTATATTGCATGGGAGGATAATGATTCTTCGACAACACAAGAGAGTTCTTCTGAAAGCAGTGATGGAGAAGAAGAAACAAATCTTTGCTCGATGACAAAAAGTAATGATAAAGCCTCATCACAGGATAAGAAATCGATTTGGTTTCTTGATAGCAGATGCTTCAGGCACATGACCGGTGACAAGAACAAGTTTGAAAACCTCACAAAGAAGAGTCAAGGACATGTGACATATGATGATAACAACAAAGGAAAAATTATTGGATCAAGACAAATACAGGTAATTAACAACTTCATGATTCAAGACGTGTTACTTGTAGAAGGATTAAAACACAACCTTTTGAGCATCAGCCAACTATGTGACAAAGGATTGAAAATTATCTTTGAATCAACTACATGCAACATAGTGAAGGATAACACGCAAGAAACTGTTTTAAAAGGTATGCGTCTTAACAATATCTATGTAATTGATCTTGACATCACAATTCCTAGGTCTATCTCCTGTCTTGTTTCTAAGAATGAAGATCCGTGGTTATGGCACAAGAGAGATGCACACATTCACATGCATCATTTAAATAAATTGATATAAAAAAATTTAGTGATTGGTCTGCCTAAGTTTTAACAAAGATAAAATTTGTGCGGCATGCCAAAAAGGAAAGCAAACTAAAACTTTTTTTAAGAATAAAAATATTATCTCTACATCACAACCTTTAAAATTATTGCACATGGACTTATTTGGACCCTCTAGAACAAGAAGCCTAGGTGGTAATTATTATGCACTAGTTATTGTAGATGATTATTCTAGGTTCACTTGGACTTTCTTTTTGGCAACTAAAAATGATGCTTTTAATACTTTTAAGAAATTTGCTAAGGCTATTCAAAATGAGAAAGATTTGAACATAAAATCAATTAGAAGTGATCATTGTGATGAATTTCAAAATAAGCTTTTTGAAAATTTTTGTGAAGAATTAGGCATAACACAAATTTTTCTTCCCCAAGAACACCACAACAAAATGGAGTTGTTGAGAGGAAAAATAGGTCGTTGGAAGAATTAGCTAGAACAATGTTAAATGAAAATAATCTTCCAAAATATTTTTGGGGCGATGCT